TCCCAGTTAGCCACTGGACGTATACTAAATATAATATTGTGAGTTTCTTAGCAGGTTTAAAATTTAATATGTTCTAAAACGATTTGTTTATTTGCTTTGCCAATTTGCCATGGATAACCGCAAGAGCTTGTTCAGAAAATGTGGCTGAAATCGAGAGGTCGAATTCCATATTAATATTAAATTTGAAATATATTCCAGACTGAGCTTTAGTTAAATGCATTGATTATAGTCAACATTATGATGGGCGTAAGACAAAAATGATTATAAATACAGCTGACTAACTATTGAAACATCCTTTCTAAGTTATACTATTTTTCTTCACTCAGATCACAAAGAAGTTGCCATATTCTTAGCTTTGTTTTAAAGCCCCAGCAGCATCTTGGAGAAAGTCACGTTGTTAATGTTGCGTGCTCGAGTGCGCAGAAGTTAGAGAAGAATAACAACATAAAGTAAATTCTAGAAATGGCTTTTAATGTCACCGCAGCGCGAGTGGCCTTCAAACTCGATCAACTTGCCTGGGCGGTGAGCAAAGTTTTTAATGCGCCAAAGCCCAAGCTGAAGCCGCTTTCGGAAGCACCGCAACAACGGCAAACGCCACTTGAAGTTGTGCAGCTGCGGCTTTTGCTTACAACATTTGTTGCATGCCACAGCCTGCTGCACTTGACTGCTAGCGACAACTGCAACAGCAACAACAACAGCAACGATATTCACCATTTGGCTGCTAAAAACAGCATAACGTAATTATGAGTTGCCATAGGTAATGGCATTGGCAACAAGAGCTCCACCTGCAATGGCAAGTGCTACGACGGCCGCTGCTGCTGCTGCTGCTGCTGCCAGACGACCATCAAAGTGTTGCAGGGAAATGTATAGAAAAAACACATTTCGAGTGACATTCGTGCACATTTTTTTGTTGCATATTCGCTTGGCTGTGTTTTTTTTTGTTTTGTGTCAACTCTAAAACGCCGCAAAACGGCCAAGAGCCCACTTCGTTCACACTCGATGCGTTTGCATGGTCGGCCAGGCCGGCGCAAGGGGATGATAGTTTCGCTTACCTGACAAACAGGTAAGACCCAACTGCTGTTTTATAGCAAAATATTTACGATTTGGTATGTAAAGTGGCGTTTCTTGTGCGCTTTTCCGGCACCTTCGCATGCGCCGTTTATGCAGCTGTACGTTTTAAAAGCCTCTGGGGCTTTTGTTTGCACACACAGCAAACCAGCACTCACAGGAATACACACTCAAGCACTCATTCACACACACTCACACAAGCAGCGCGCAGTCTGGAAGAGCGTTTTAGGTGGCAAGCCTTTTTCATGTCCTGTCAAGTATTTGGCTTTGTCACAACCAGCTAAATGCTTCAAGTGTAATGCCCGCTGCCCGATGATTCGTTGCTTATAACTTGTCGTTGCTTTAATGTGCCTTTTACACTTTGTCAGTTGGTTGATTGCACAGATTCATTCATTGCTTGTCCAGCAGTCTGCGAAACTTGCAATCTCTCAGCCTGTTAATATCAATTTGTAAAGCTTGACATTTGTCAGCTATTTATTTGCTTATTGTCTCTGGTGCTTGGTGTCCCAGGGTCTGTTTTCTCTCTGCTGATTTGCTTACTGCGCTCAACTGTCAATTTTGTCCTGTCACTTTTTCACTTATTTGCTTTGCTCCTAATTGGTTTCGCATTACCAGACGGACTGAAATGGTACTCAAGTTGAGAAATTGTATTTCGTAACTAGGCGTGAAGGTTTTTATATATTGCATTTAATAATGTTATCTCACTCTGAGATAATTTGTATTTAAGAAATCATCTTTCGTTCGGTTTTCTAGTTTGAGTCGAGTGCTCACACAACACTCTCCATTTATTATTTCAACACAAAGTGTTTTTTTTTTAACTCCTAACAGTCCTTGGCCAATTTGATGCTGAATGGAGTTGGTAGGCAAGGCAGAAGGACTTTTGACATTCTGCGGCTTGCTAAGGGCGCGAAGACTTGTGGAAAATATTTAATTAAAATTAAAATATGGCAGCTGCTCACAGCTACATTCCATGACACAAATCGCACTTAATCCATCTGCAGTTTGCTGCTGCTACACTTTGGGGCAATAAATCTAAAAGCAACTCGGCGCGCTCTTCAACCAAACTACTCCTAACTAATGCTCACACACATACATATAGTTACCAACAAATATATATATATATATAAATATATATAGAGACATACTACTGGGTAGCGCCTGCAGCTGATCTTCTGCTGCAACTGCGCCAGTTACTACTGCCACTGCAACTGGCAATGTTGCTGCAGCTCGGACCTCGACTTCCTGGCTGCGCTCCACATTTTTGCAACGAAGATTTTAACTGTCAGCAACTTGGGCGACTTAATTTGAATTTACGGCACCAAGAGGAACGGCTCGCACTGCGCGCTCTGGCTCTGGCTCTGGCTCTGGCTCTGGCTCATAGGTCGTACTCGGCTATTATATGGCACAAACACCATTAAATACTGAGTGGAGCTTCTAATGTGTTTATTGTTGTTACTGTCCCTGGATCGGGGTCTGGGCTGGGCCTCATGTGTGCGCGACAATAATATTCAAATGCTATAGCATGGCTCCAGTTGCTTTTTTTGCTCGCGTGTGTGGGCGTGGCATGACGACGAGTAGTCAGCGCCTAGGTGCTCACTATCCGCCCATCCATGATGTTTATACCCGCACTCATACTCGCACTCTCAGTCACACTGACACTCCAACTGGCATTCGCAGTCATGCAGCTCGGTGCGCGCTCGAGTCTCGCCTGCATTTTCATATTTATGTGTCTCTAGATAGCGCCACAGCAATCAAAAGTTCTTCGTTCACACTCTCCAAACAAACGCACACACACTCATACTTGACAATGTGTGTGTTTATATGTTTATATGCTAATACTTTAGCACACATGCCGAGCACTATTATCGGGTCTGCCACTTAGGCGTCGAACTTCCGCTTTCCTGCTGTTGGATCTCAAGGCAATTGCGCAGCATTGCAATTTAGGGTCTGAGCTTCGTGTGTGTTGTAAAATATTTTACTTCATTTTGATATGTTTTCCCTGCTGGTTTAGTGTCGGCCACATAAATACATGTGTGCTGGTGTGCTGGGGTGTTTTGTCTGTTTGTTTTGCCTGCTGACTGCACTATCGCAATGATAATAAATTTTATTAATCTTGCTGTCACACAAAGAACACACACACACATGTACTCTGAGGCAAGGATGTGTATCTCACTAGCCCACGCCCACGCTTTCTACTCGCTGATCAAGTGCCCAACCTAGTACTCAAATATGTAAACGTGCCCCCATGCCCCCTGCCACATGTCATTAGCGACGCGCACGCCGGAAGCCCGAAACAGAGCACGCGAGCACGACTTGCAATTTATTTTCATTTTTCGATGCAGCTAACAACAATACACACTCCCGCCTCTGGCTCTAACTATAACAGAGGAACACCTGAATTTATGAAGCGCAGTTTTTAGCATTTGTCTCAATGAGTGACTTACATAATATTTAGCAACATTTAAACAAACATAGGTGTCTCGCACAGTTTACATAATTAAAATTTAATTCATTGTAATTATAAATAATTAATTTTCTAATTCTCTGCAATGAATGAGCTTCTGTAGGCGGCAGCCAGGCCAGTATATACAGAGCCAGCTAATCAAAAATTTATTCAATTTGTGCTGCAGTCAAAGGCGCGCTGCGAGTGAAAGTGCATCGAAAAAGCCCCAGGCTCTGCCAGCAATTAAAACCAGCCAGCAGCAACAGATTTACTAAAGCCTATTCTGGCATTTGCTGTGTACGACGGGCTGTGCTCTGAGTCCTTCGTCCTTGGTAAATGCTAAGCAGCAAATTTGATGATGGCGACCGCAGTGCACTCGTGTTTAAGCCGCAACTGTCTGCTCTCTGATGCTGTTGCTGCCTCTGCCACTGCCACTGCTGCTGCTGCTGCTGTAGTTGCTGTTACAGGAAATGCAGTATAAAAATCAACAAATGCCGGAAATGCGGCTCTGCGATTAAAGTTTTTGCATTAAAATATGGACCAAAGAGGTGGCCGTCTCTGGTTATGTAGCTGGGATGTGGTCTCCGCGGATACTGTGGTTCCTTTTGCAAAATCTAATTGCAAATTTTATTTAGCGACAGCCATTCATCATGGGTTGGCTCTTCACTCCTGCTATGCAAAGCTTCCTGTCTGGTCGCAGTAAATCATGATATTTATTTGGCCAAATAGAAGTGAGAGAAAGCAAAAAATTGGCAAATGTCAGTTCTTTGAGTGGACGCAGCCGCACAGCAGTCCCATTGTTGCTTTGGCATTAATTTAAATATTGTTTTTAATTCAGTTTTGTTGGACAAACTCATTGACAGAAGCCCCAAAGAATGCTCGCGCCGCAGAGTAATTTTGTTCATTATTTAATTAAAACTAATTGAAAGTTTCGTCTTTGTCGTTAGACGCCAACGGCTGTCCAGCCGAGCAGCAGTCAATCTCGTAATTTGAACATAGCCCAAATGCCCAGAAATGATTTTTGGCCAAACAGTGCCCTGAGTGGTCCGTCCCACAAGGACACCAGCAGAAGCAGCAGCAGATATGCCATGCACTTGACTGACTGACGTTTTGCCAAATCTGTCAGAAACTAGAGGTCCGGAAATAAGAGAGAAAGGGAGAGATGATGCCAAGCTCGGCGGACGAAATTCCCAAACTCATACTACTCGAGTGCACTTTAAAATCGAGCGCTGGCAAACTGGCAAAGCAAAGTTTAAGGACCTTTTTCCACAATTAAGCAAACGCTGCTAAATGAGCTACATTCTTGCCTGGGCTTCGACAAATGAGCAATGAAGGTGCGACTAATGCATGGCAGGTAATGTGGACACAGAAAACTTTTGGAGAATTGCAATGTACTCATCTTCCCACTGACCAAATTGGGAAGTGAAATATGTTTAAATGGAGCAGATTCAATAAAATCTATTTTATTTTGTAAATATATTAATCGAATAACCATTGAGAAGTGGACCCCTTCAAATAGTGATAAAAAGAAAGATCGAATTGTAAAATGAAATTAAGTTCTGCCGATTGTGCAGTAAAGCTATCGGCATTGTATGGAAGGATCACTTTTTTAGTTTCTTGAACAGTCGAGGGACCGTTAGGAATGTTCGTGATTTGGTTTGAAGTGTGGAGGGGACAGCAACAATATCTATTGTCCGTTCTCTAATAAACTTTTCGGGTACACAGCAGGCGGCATTCGGTAACATAAGCGATCTGGTTTTGGTTAAGGAAAGCGGTTCGACCTTACACCTGTTACTGCCCAATTTGGGCGAAACAGTTACCACATATGAGTAGGATCTAGGGTTAAGCGGACGTTTCTCTTGTTGCTGATTCGGCAGTTGCATGAGCAGATCTCCGATTCTATTAGTAATGGGTGCTCCAGGCGATTTCGGAGTGTGAAAGGGCTCTGGTCGGGAGCAGTTACTTCCCAGGACCATGCTGGACGTGCTCTTATCGGTCAAACAGGTCGAGCTGTATACCTTCTGTAAGCTCGGCCGTGACTCAACTCTGGCCAGCTGGCTGATGGTTGTGGCACGAATCAAACGCTGTTGCGACAAGATGGGCGTCTGGAAGTCGAGGGAAAGGCTCGAGGTGGACTTCGCAATGGATACATCCCGGTCTATGTCAAAGGTGGCCTGCCTTCTGATGCGCAGTTGCTCAGAGAGTGGCATGGGATCGGAGGCATCGCTTTGCTGCTGCTCGCGTAGCTTTTCCAGCTGTATGCGAATCTCTTCGATTCTTGACAAGTTAGGCGTCAGATCCTCTGTGCTGACGGCGTGAGCAATAGGCGTGAGCGATTCTGTCAACTGAGACTCCCAACTTGTTTCATCAATTTTCTGTATATCCAGCTTTAATAGTTGGAGATCCTCCTGAAAATCTTGTTCTATTTTAGCGTCTTTCTCCGCTTGCGTAATGGGCTCGACATCTGAAAGTGGCCTCGTGTGCTCCAACCAAGGAAGCACACTGCACTGCCTCTTGATATGCTTCATATGCTTCTTCTCTCGCTTCGACAGGGTCACGTGCAGCTGATGACGACTGCGGACACTGTTCCCATCAACCAATATGAACGGGATGCCAGAACTGTCGAACTGGGCAATGTCCTCCACGCCACCCAGTCGATCAATGGATATAGAACGTTTGGTGGCAATGCTTGCTTTGGTCGACAAAATTGTTTGGGCCAACTGCATGCTCTCCGTCTTGATTCCTATGCGGCTTTTCTTTTTGCTCATTGTGGCTGTGAGCAGGTGGGAGCAAAGCGTCATTCAATTGCCTTTTGGCAGCTAAATGCAAATCAAATTTGTCCCCCAACGAATGTCATATATGATAAATGATTTTCACGTGGTCTTATGCCAGCTGACAGCCATCGTATTTGATTTGCATTTAATTGCAGCGGAAATAATGTGAAACGTGTCTAGACGACATCATCCGCCAACCTTGCAGACTTACCTGAACGGTGAATAGTTTCAACTTCTGCACCTAAATTTAAATCCCTCTAAAGCTCTCTGGCAAAAATCAAATTGAAAGGGATATAAAAAGTTTTTTCAACAGAAGAATAAACAAAAAATGTTGCTTTAAGTCCTCAAGCGTCCTTTGAGGCAAGGCGCACGTGCACTTGCGGCTGCCAGACGCCTTCTGCTCTGCTCCTTCGAATTTGTGGGCGGCGCAATCCGTACAACAAAACTTTACTTTGTTCAGATAAAAACTTAAATGTTACAGTTGCCGCGAGCTGCCGTAAATGCTTGATATCCCCAAAAGGTTAACAGTTTTGGCTGCTGCTGCTGCTGCTCTGCTTGACGTTCGCTTTGTTTACAAAATTTTTATATTTTTGTTTGTCTTTTTTGCTTTTTTTAGTTTCTTATTTTTGAGAATTTTGCTAAACCACAACGTTTGAAATGCCCGCACCACAAACACAGCAACACAATCAGGCAAACACACACATAGAGGCGAAGACACTCTGTGTGTGTCTCTCTGTGATTTGTGTAGTTTTCTGTTCCTCGGCTGCTGGCTGCTGGTTGCTACATTAGGGAAGGCGTGCTCAGTCAAATTTGGTCATTTAACTAACACGAATAATTTATATTTAATCAAATATATATATGCCAGCAAGTTGAAGCCTTTAAGGCTTATAATTTGAAATGACATAGCCAGCAAAGGGTCTCAACCTTGTGTTCAGAGAATAGCCCACTTTGTTACACAGAGCTACATTCGATATCGTATGTTGTTCATCTTCTCCAATCATTTACCTGCCCTCTCTTCGTTGCACTCTCTTAGTATCAATTTACGATATAAAGTGTACTAAAAAAGCTTTCGAATCCTGCCAGCCGAGTAACTTGCCGAAGCTGACAAGCAACACGAGGCTGGCGCTGATGTTGCCGATGCTTGTCTCGGCGTCAACGCCACGTTAGCTGTGCCCACGCCAGGAGACGTTCAGTCAGAATCGGTTGGGTCTACGGCACGGACGTGACAGCGGCTGGCCAGAGGCATCAGCAACGGGTGTTAACAATATTATGTGGTTGTGGAATTAGCTGCCAAATATCAACGTCAATTCGACAAGTTGGCATCATGCCTCACGTAAAACTTGGCCCATTACCACGTCAGTACTTCGGTCTGTGTACTCGGTCACTAGCCGGGGCGTGAAAATTATTAGTGTGCAATTGTTTTCAAAGCGCACGGGCAATTAAAGTTTCAAAGCCGTTGACGAATAAAGTCTAATGGCTGCTTGATGCAAGTCACGACATAAATTGCATGTCCAGGTAGTTAAACGACATGAAAAATACGTAGAAGAGACGGCTATAGTGTGGTCGTGAGTTTGTGTGTGTGTGGATAAATACAGACGTGTCAGTTACTCCAGTGGAATTCAAAGAATAACAACAATAATTGGATCAGTGGATCACTTTCAGAATATTTATTAAAACTGGAAATGGCATATTCAACTTTGACTGCCCATAAGACTTAACAGACCCCAGAATTTAAGCGAAATATGTAAGTTATTGTTGAGAGAGTCTCTCTGGAAACAGTCAAAGAAACTACCATATGGTTAAAATTTCATTTAAAGTTCGACAATGAATGGAAGTTGTATTATTAAGCAACAGTTGCCAAGAGGTCACTGGTAAGTCCGTCAGCTCGGAGTCAACGACCACATAGGTAAACATTAATATACCATTGGGCAGCAGGGAAAATTGGATAAACAATGCATACTAGTGGATAAATTATTTGGTTACTTCGCCCATCAATAGAAGATAAACAATAGGGGCAGGCATTGGCACAAAGGCAAACAGTTTAGCGCCCCGTCATAAATTCAATTAAAATTCAATCGCAAATATATGCAAATTAAACAAGGGTTAAGTCCGCCATTGAATAACAGCAAACAATGTGCGTCGTATGTTTGAATTGAAAATCTATATACCTCTAACATACATACAAATATGTATATAAATATGCGCCCCAAAGTATTCTGTGTCACAGACTATGCCTCGTCTGGGTTGATTGATCAAGCATAGCCTTATTAACCTTTCCAGTATTCCTTCAGTATTCGAGCCCCGGGCTTCGGCTTCAGTTACGTTCTTTCAATATTGTTGCTGTCACTTGAGCGAAACTTTAATTTTTTTTCACACTTTACTTGCCAAAAACTTTTGAAGTTTTGTGTCATTTTTCGTCAAGAATTTACGTCTCAAGCATTTTACTTTGGCGTTCTTTTTTATCTGGTGAAAGTTTTATCTTTTGAAATTATACGCATTACCAGACCTCATCGTTTCCCTCTGAAAGTTTGAGTCTTAATTGGCAATCCATAAAAGCCAGCTATATATTTTTGCTAATTATATATTTATTTAATGCTGACTAAATTCAATTCTTTTAATTTCTGTTTTTTATGCTGTAAAATTAGTTGCCAAATTCAAATCATTTTAGATTAAATTCTTTTTTATAAGCCTTGCACATTTTTTAACTTAAGTACATTAAGCCTAACTTCCTTATGACACTCTTCTTAATTTCCTGCTTTGACAATTTGCAACGGGGGCTCGTCTGGCGCTGTGTCTCTTAGTTTTCCTGCTGTTTTTTAACAGATATGAATTTGCGCGCAATTTAGCTACACTTCCACCAGGCAGCTGAGAAACAAAAGCGCGGCAGATGTTTGCTTTTAATTTTAAAACCGGCAGTGCAGCAATATGTTATACATCAAGTTTACTTAAGGTTTCACGCAACAAAAATAATATGAAGTAAAATAAACGAGCTCATAACTCATACGCAGTGTAGGCAGCAGCCAACTCGCGGCTTTCGCACAAACGTGGGACTTTATTTATTTTATTTTTTTTCCTTAAATTTATGCCCATTCCTTACAAATCTTGTGTGAAGCAGTTAATTCTTTGACTCTGTCTGCTGAGGTGCCCGTGCGGTTAGCCAACACTAACTCAGTCAGCACTTCTGTCGCAACCACAAACTGTTGGCATAGGAATAACGGAAATTGTTGCTGCGAGTGCTGCGAGTGAGTGTTGATGTAAATGGGAATTTTTCCACATTTAGAGTAATGGTAATAGTAACTTTTAGCACATTCAAGTTCTAGTAACCTTTAATTAAATTACAACAGTTAGCATTTCGATAATTAATTAGATGTCGTAGTTACCAAGGAATAAATCTGACCTTCCTTCAAAGATAACAAAACTGTTTTTTGTTTAATATTTACAAACAACCTGCTATGAGCCTAACCTTGCTTTAAATATTGCAATCAGTAACGAGGCTATGACAGAGAAAAATAACGAAAGATTAGACCTTCCCGCTGCTGCCAGCTTCGTTTGGTCCACGAGGAAGTGTAGCAAGCAGTCACAGAGTTCCGCCGTGTCTCTGCCACAATTTAGCTCAGCATTTTGAACAAAGTTGCCGCCTTTTGCTGCTGCTGTTGTTGTTTGTGCTATGTACTCATTTATATTTTATGAGTCTTGCACCTGGAACAATATATATAGACACAAACAAAGGTAGAAAAACTCATGTGTTGGCGCCGGCATTAAAAATTAAAGTTTTTCTTGTCAATGAGTGTCGCTTGCTTTTAACGTTGTCTGTCCGCTTTTCTTCTCATATCAAATATATAATATATACATATATACTATATATACTATACATGTGTGAAATTTTGCTTCATAAGTGGATTTAATTTCAGTTTATGCACACGAATTACGCCACAAACCATAGACATTTTAAGCTCTAAGTGGAAAACACTTAACAAAAATTAATAAGTATAAAATTTTAAATAGGTAAACAGCACTAAAAAAGAGAAAAGTTGATTCTGTGCGTGTCTTGCACAGGTACCTGTGCATAGGTAATCATAATTTATTTATTTTATGGTTAGTTTAGGCTTGGATAATTTTCTACGTTGACGCATCCATAAAAAGACCATAAACACTTTGCCCACATACACATAGCAGAAGAGTTTTCTTTATATGCATGCAACCATAAACTGGTTTTATTTTGCAAGCATAATACTTATCAAGCGAGACGTAGAAAATACGTACATTCATGTTTATTTAAGAGCCACTGCAACACACATCCGAGTATCCTGTGTATCTTTTATGAGCTTCAGCCACTATATTTAACCACTGTGTGGGCTCGTAGCTTCAAAGCACTGACACAAGGGTTAACTGTAAAATAAAATATATAGCAATGTCTAGCAGTTCCGGATGTCGTATTTCAACGGGCATTCGTAAATTTGGAGCAGCTGCTCCAATTTCAAACGAGAATCCAATGAATATTTGAACGCAATCTATATGTGCTGCACAATAACAATTTACCAAGTCGATAACAAGCGAAGCTCAATTGTCTTTTTGTTATTAACCAGTAATTAACAATTAACAATTTTAATTAAATAAAAGCCTCATAATGAATTCCATTGATAATTTCTGACTTTCATTTTATTTGTTAATAAAATGAAATAAATCAATTCATCTCTTTATTATATTTCATTAATTAAAAAATATTCAATACCCAAAAAAAGTATAAAATAAAACAATTTTTTATCCGCTGTAAGATATTTTTGAGCTTTTACCTCACAAAAAATTCAAAAATCAATATTTGACAATAAGTAAATTTTAATAATTTCAATGTGTTTCAGATATAAATATTTCTTCATTAAAATAGTTGTGCGCCTGAGCAATGAAAAATGCACACTTAAAAATAATACAATCTGAAATATCTCGTAATATTAAAAATTTCAATAAGGTCAAACGCCAAATATTGTTTTTTATTCACTTCAAAATATAAAATACAATAATAATATTACGAACGCTAAAAAGCTTACAAATTAATAATAAAATTTTACTTCCACAACAACTCAATGCGGAAAAACTATGCATGTTTTTGGCAAGATAAGAAATTCACTTTCAGGAATAATCGAAGTTCAGTTTTAACCAGGATTATAATGCGTACATTAGGCAGATTACCCGTTGGTTTCAAAATGACTAACGTTCAGGCAATTTAAGTGATCCACTTAATTTTACATACGCTGCTAATGTAAAATTTATATTTAAATTGGATTAAGTGACAAACATTTTGACTTGTGCCAACAACAATTTGGCCTGCTGAATTTTAATGTGATTTTTGGTAATGCAGCTTTGGCCAGCAATACGAGCAGCAACAAATATTTACGCCCCTAGCATGTTCAATACAATCAAATTGTGTGCGCATGTGTGTGTATGTGCGCGCGTATGTGTGTCAATTTGTTAATTTCTAGTGTGGGTCCCTAGGCGCATTTGAAACCAAAATCAATATTATGCACAAATAGGCAGCAGCTTGACATCTTTGACATGTGGTCAGAGAGTGCAAATGGGATTTCATGGGTCATCGTATAAATGTAATTTGTCAGTTCATAGCAGCTCGAACATTAAATTATAAATAATTGATGTAGCGCATAGTCAATTTTTTGCATTATTTCCCAATTTTATGAGTTACAAAATAAATAGTAGATAACTAAATATATATATGAGACAGTAGAAATAAGCGCACACACACAAAGCCAAGCACATAACCCCAAAAAGTTAGGGAAACTATCTGAAAGATAAACAACTGCAAACTCTCGGGCAGACCAAAGGGACAAGTTGTTGCTGCTGCTGCTTCTGTTGCTTGTTTTACAATAATAAAGTGCGGCTGCAGCTTTAATAACTCTTGCAGGAGCCACAACAAAGTTCCTGATGAAGACGAGGACAACATAGATGGCGTTGTGGACAGAAGAAAAATAAACAAAAACAGCAGCTGTAGTACGACTGCGAGACTGCAGCTGCAATCCCAACCAAAGCGAGACAAAAAATGGCAGATGTATCAAGAAAAATCCACAGAATTGTGGCAAGGAAATGGGTATTTAAAGTGTTGTTCACCCTAAGTTTTCAATTCCTCGCAGAAGCACAAAATGAATAGTATTTACTGCAGCAATGCTTGCACATATTTAAGCTAGGAATTAGCCAACTTTCCCTGGAAAATGCGGCGGAAAAATGCTGCTTGCTGCTTGCTGCATTACCTGAGTCTTATAAGTAGTACCAAATTGGGAAGTAGTACCGGTCCGCCCGAGCTCGTTGCTCCCGTCTGCGTGCATTCATGCCGTCAACCCAAAAAGAAACTTTCGTCGCGCCGTGTCACGTAGTTTCGCCCGTCGCGCAACCCAATTTGGCAAAATCGCGCTTTGCAATGCAAAATGGCGCGCTGGCAAAGTTTTTACTGCATAATCGCAGGCGCAGCATTTTTCGTTCCCTGATAACAACAAAAGCAATTGGAATACAAAATAAACTTTCGAGCAGAAGACTCCACAACTTTTGTGAGACTGTGCATAATGTGCCGCCGGGACGGCAATAGGAACTAGAACAGACAAATTCATCTGCGTCTGTGGGCAAAAAAAACATCAGCAAAGTTACAGTTGCCAAATGCGAAAAGAATGAGATGAGCGGAGAGCCAAGGGAACATCAAGTCGACATCGACATCATCGCTTTTTATTTAACGTTTAGATTCTCACTCCGGCCCCTATTTATTTTTTTTGTCCTTTGTGTTGCTTGCTGATTTGTATTTCATTTAAAAGCACAAGCACGACAAATGTTTCTTGATTTAGAATCGAGGGACTTTGGGACCCCAGTGAGCGCACATTTATTTTCTTTCTTTTTAAATTCCATATTATATTGATTTTATGACGATTGTCTAATTTTTTAATGCATTATTAAAAAGTGAATGTTGTTTCATTTGGAAAGCAGGCCAGCTTTATATTTGAAATTCAAAAGTTCTTATCTTGGACTTGGAAAAGGCCGCATCACTTTAATTATCTTTGGTACAATCACTAAAAGGCAACAATAGCTTGTCACTGGTTTTGACAGGTCTCATAGTTGTCGGACGAAGAATTGCTTTCAGAGTCCTTGAAATATCAATGAAAATCAATAATAGTTAAACGGCTCGAGACCAAAAATAATTTCATTCTATTCAAAATAATGGCGTTTTCGCTTGTGCCCATAGAAACTAGGAGGAAGCTAAATAATTGATAATAATTGAATATGTGTGCAAGTCATGGAAAACTGATGATGACCTAAATAAGTTTCACTGTCCGTACAATCCAAACTTAATACATATAAATAAAAAAAATTCTTTAATGCCCATGTTTAAGTCTTTATTAAATCCATTTATGTTTTTTTGTTTTCAGATCCCAACTCGCATTTAATGAGCCACTGCCAGTGTCTACATATGGGACTCGAGACTCTTTACCAAACAAACTATAAATGGCAACAGGCTGAAATTTATGCGAAAAGTTACACAAAGTAATAAGCACACAAAACAAAGCGAAAGTAAACAGAATGCCAACAAATCCCATAAACAAAAGGCACACAAACTGAAACGAACAACTATCAAATAAGGCAAAAGAAAGAAAATCACTTAAATCTGGAAGAAAACAGATTACAAGCAGACCCCAAGTCACCAAGAACTTCAACGCATTCCAATTTCCACTGTGCCACTGGCACACCCAGAGTAGGACTTCGTATCATTAGCTGGGTATAAGGGATTATTATGTCATAAATATGAAACACATAAGCGATATACGCATCATTGTGCTCATTTGCTGTTTGCTACAAGGTGAGTGCCATATTTTCCAATTGAATGAGAGAAGGTATATACACGTTTCGCTTAGTTGCCGATTGAGCGAACAGTCGACGCAGACTGTCGGCTGTAGGCTGTCGGCTGTCGGCTGTCGAGTCAATAAAAAACAAATTGTAACTGCCGAACAATGTCACTTGTTGGGTTTTAACACCTCCAAGCGCACACCCAGTTCTATCTGTGGCAAGTGTTACTTTCAGCTGCGTGCGTGCATGCGGCTACAGCAACACCTGTGTCGTGGCACACCCCCAATGCCCCAATCCGCGCTTGTTTGTTTTGCTTATTCCGATTATTTTTCCTCTGAGACGCACGTGCTGCGCTTACAAATAGCTACCATTGACTTCGACATAAAAAGATGCGTGCCATTTTGAGTTTATTTTAAATAAAACAAGATAATTTTCCTAATAGAATATTTGTATGCCTGTTGAGCTCAACTGCAGTGCTCAGTGCTAGTGACCACGCTGTTGACATTTGTAGGTCGCAGCTCCCTGCAGAAATCAGCCATATGCATCCGCAAATGCTGCGGCTGTGACGCATGGAGAACCAGCAGGGAGTTACAGCTGCTGTGGCATTGCCATTGGCATAAATTCCATTTCATTTTGCAAATATGTAATCGCACTCAAAGTGCGCACAAATGCACACACACACATGCCAAACGAACCTGTTTGCCAGGTCCATCTCCTCTCTCCTCTGTTTCTGTTCTCGAACGTTGGCTATTCCGTGCTGCGTCAGCAAATTGTGTGGCGAACATGTGGCAGCTGTAACCCATTCCCCCGCACCCAGTTCAATTTATGCAGCAAATTGTCTTGTATTTTACTCCCTGGCTGCGTATTGCATATTAGTGCAACATTTAATTTCAAGTGCCTTCAAATGATATGCTGCTACTAAAAATTTCCATGACGCCGTTCGCGTTACTCATGCGACCCTACCACAGCCCATTGCAGCACAGTTATTGTTATTACTTTTTCAATTATGTGCGAGCTTAGCAACAATGACAGCTGCCCACCCATCCTCGGCAGCCCGCAATGCATTTTTGTTATTTCGCTTTTAATTTAACATCGCTTGTCTGACGCTTGCTGCAGCTCGTTGCGAGTGTTATGTTATTCATAAATGCTTTTCTGCGAGTCAAGAGTACTTCTCTCTACTCATATCATGTCAGACCCGTTTAAAGTTGCATTGCTGCAGCAATTGTTGTGCTTCTTCTTGTTGTTTTAGTTTTCTCTGTGTTTGTGTTTGCGGATTTGCGCCAGATTTGTGTCAACTTGAATACATCAGAAGCGTTTCACAGACTCTGCTGCATTGTTGTTGTCGGTCGTTGTGGTCCTAAACAAAAATGCACACACAATCGCCCCGCAACGGGGCGTATGAGTGTCGTACGTATGTGTAACGTTGCCTTTGAGCCAGCTAAGCGAGTGAAAACTGTTGCACACTTTTTTGTTGTTCGTTGTTAGACTAGTTGTTGTTGCTATAGTTGTTGTTGTTGATGAGTTCCCCCACCACAGGCCACCATAGAATTTTCCACCATAGCCTTTGTTGTTGCCTGCTTGCCAAGTCAAACTAACCTACAGGCTTTTTCATTAGAATTTCTCTTTGAGAAATTTTTTAATAGAATTGTTTGCGAATACGGGACAAGGCCATGCATGATCCACAATGTAGTGAACTTGTATTTTCTTCAACAGAGCAGAAAACTAATTGTTGTTTAAGCATAATTTAAAGTGTCAATAGCTTTGCCGAAGAGCTTGAATGATAAATGAACATGTTAATTTAGTCTAGACACTTTTATCTGGCCAACAGCAACAGCAAGCGATCCCTTAATGAGCATCACTTTTAATTGCCTGGCATTTGAATATCTGCCACAGAATTCGTTGTTGGTTCTTTAACATTCTGACAGTTTTCAGTAACTTTTTTTCTGATAGGCTGCCAAGCATGCCATTGTCTGCAGCAGGTTGGCCCTGGGACTGACAGAATTTCGCGCTAAACGCTTTGGCAGATAAAAAGTTTTTTATCCCGAATGGGGCGGCATAATTGCTCTGCAGGCATAGAACTCATTAGTGGCGGAAGGTTGCACTGGGCTGGGCGCCCTAACTGACATCGAGTCTGTCCGAGTAAGCTGCTTTTATAGATTTTTGGCCAGTTTATCTCCTAATGGCGGCCTTCATTATGCGCAATTTGGTAACGCACTTCGGTTTCGTTCTGTAACATCATGGGTTGCTCTGTGGTGGTGCTCTGAACCTATTAAACCTATTTTACGCTGTTTTGTAGTCCCCTCTTCCTTTGCTCGTGCCACCAATTGGACACTGTTATCAAATTATGTTAAGCATTCAATTTGAACAGTGACTGATGGCTGAACACAGGTTCAGGTATTCCGGCGGGAATCATCCGATTAAATATGCATTAATGAGAGAAATTATCATACATACTCAATCATGTATTCTGTATAATGTTTTCCAGCCGATTTCTTGCCCCAGCTGCCAGCTTCGACCTGCGCATAATTAATTTACTTAGAGTGCGCCACAACGGGCTTAATTTCTAAGGATATAAATCGAAGCTCTAATTGATTAAAGAGTTTTCCATTAATAAAGCTCACATATGGTACGCTAACTATTTTTGCTCGCTTTTTTAAAAGTCTCAGATTTTCTTTGCACTGCATTTTAATCAGACTTTCTGTGGCTTTACCCATTGTAGTCCAGACATTTTGTCCCTGTCGTTTCTGCAGGCAAAGCTTTTGTCTTTGGCACTGGATGTGGCTTTGTCGCTGCTGCCATTGCCGTTGGATATGGATATGCGGGTGTTTGAGCATTTCCCCTTTTAATTAATGTACTTTGTAATGTAGCCAAATGACATGTGTTTGCTGTGCCAGTGCCGCTGCTATGTGTCAATTTGTACATATGTAGGTATTTTTTGTTGACAAAGCAGCTGCTACTTCCTTGTTCTCATGACTGACGGTGTGCTGCAAAAACAGTCTCAGTCAAGCTAACCAGTTCGTTCTTAGATATTCAAATTTTTCAATTTAATTACGTGTTTTCGGCATTCATTTTTGGCACGTGCCTCATTAATGCCCAATTTAATTATTCGAAATGAATTTAGCTACTCCAAACAATGCTTAAGCGAACTTTTTAATGCCACAGGCTAAGCAGAAGCTGTAAAACTCCAATGCTTCTGCACAAATTGCCAAAAATGAACAATTTAAGGCGAGAGACTTTGCTGCTGGTTTTAATAGCCAGTCCACTTTTTGTTGGCTATTAAATTATTTATTTTAAAAAGGACACAACGGTAAGCTGATTTTCTAATTTTACGCTGTATGAACATTGCCCCAGCGTCAGCAGGGAGGATGCGAGCCAATATCCTGTTGGCGTTCGTTCGCTATTTGTAATTTGTGGCCAGGATATGCGACGCGGCAGCCGGCGTCATAATTTTACAAAGGATTAAGCGCGATTACGTAGTCAGTTATGAATATTTACGAGCCGCCCAGCGACAGGATAATAAAACAAGGGAAGCTCATTGGCAGCATTAAAGATTGCCTACATGTGTCGGCGTCGCTTTTTTAACCATTTCCCTTTCCCTTTTTTAACTCATAAATCATGCATTTTTATTGGCACTGTGTGTGGCGTGTGTATTCGAAAGGGACTACGCTCACTAAGCCGGCATTCATTTCAGTTGACACAAATCAATTACTCGAATCCGCAATGAAACGAAAAACTTGTGTCCCTATCAACGCTTTATGTTGCCTGATTGTAGAACTACAACGCGAGCAACTCGACTTTTGAGATAGAAATTTTGCTAGACTATTCAATTCTCTTAATGCAAACTTTGCTCTACGCACACAGGTTTCGCACTAGGCGTGCGCATGATCAAAGTCTCCATACCCGCTTTCAAGATGCGTGGTGAATCGGCATTCATGGAATGCCAATACGAGCTGAACCGCACACATGGCCCGCAAATAATCAGTAATGGGCATAGAGAGCGCGATCGCTATTCGCCACATCCAGGAGCCGATCTACACTATGTCGATTCAACTGACATTGAGAGACAGCCGCATCGGCGCACGCATCAGGGAAAACGACAATACCAAGCGCGTCGACAGCAGCATCAACCACTGGCCATGCGGCAGTATCAGAGTCAGAGTCACACAGAAAGACATAATCCGCCGCTGCCGGAGAAGTCGCCCTACGGTCACAGCGTCTACCGAGGCAGTGCAGCATCTGGTTATCTGGGTGGACGTGTTGGCGCTAGTGTTCATAACGGCGGCGGCGGCGGTGGTGGAGGCGGCAATAGTGTCAGCGGCAGCAGTAGCTCCAGCGGATCTATTTCCTATATGCCCGACTTCGGACGAGACGATCGATACGATGAGAGCGATGAGGAGGAGGAGGAGACTCAAGAAGAAGGCGAGTCGCTCTACGCCATCAAATGGTACAAAGACAACGAGGAGTTCTATCGCTATGTGCCAAAGGCGCGTCCACCCAAGACCAGCTACCGCGTGGACGGTGTGCGCGTGATTGTAAGTATGCGGGAAAAAAGTGCACGAAAGGACTTCTCTAACTTTTCTCCCTCTCTCTCTGTCTTAACAGGAGGAGCTGTCCGATGCTAGTCGCGTTCTGCTGCGTGGACTTACCCTCAACTCGACTGGTCTCTACCGCTGTGAAATCTCCGCCGAAGCGCCAAATTTCTCATCTGTGCAGGGCGAGGGTCGCATGGACATTGTGTGTAAGTAAAAAGAAAACTTCAAATATAATAAAAATCATTTTGCATTCCATCTAATAGACAAGCAAATATTTTTTAAACAAATTTCGTTTGGCAATTACACACAAATATTGAATTGGTAAACAAACCACGTTTATTTATTTATGTACATTTATAACAGTGGCATTTAGTTACTGTGAGTATTAAAGAATTAGGGAGGGAGAGAGAAAGAGAGATAGGCAAACAATTTTGATATGTTTACAATTTCTATTTTGATGTTGACTTTTACTGCGTCATATTTATTTAAGTTTTGGTTTTTGTCTGTGAATAGCTTGAATGAACTAAAATTTGATTGAATACGAATTGAAGTCAAACAATCGAAACATTTCTCTAAGAACCATACAACGATATAGAACGGATTTCTTTTAAAGTTTAGCTGAGTTGAGAGTATCTGCTAGTCAAGCACTTTCAATTTAAACAAAAGCTTTTCATACAATCATACAATGCATTACAAATGAATACACCCACACGCACGCACACCCACACACACAGCTGCCTTTCAGTTGAACTAATTTTTTGCTATTTTTTGTGGAACGGTAAATGCGGCTTCCTGAGCTGTTTGTATTGCTTTTGGAATGCTTTTAAAAGGCCATTCATAAGCTTTAGTTCTATAACAGCATTTTTCTGTAATTTCACGATGTATATTTTTTATTGTTTATCGCATGCTCTATATTATCTTCTTCTTTTTTTGTCCATATGCATATGTACGGTTTTTGTATTCGCTTAAGCCGAATGGACAGTGTCTGGCTGTAAAGGGGAATATGGAAAACTGAACAGTGGGCACCAGTGGAGTGCTGGGCTATATCAATACATTTGGCATGGCAACGGTCGGCAGTTATAGCCGTGGCTCCAAACCGGCGATTTATAAGTTGAAATGCCATTTTAATGGATATTTCCGCAGCATGGCCGCGTACAATATATTTTGTGTTTGTTGCCAGTTTATTTTGAAATTGTTCTTTTGTATTTTCAACTGTTATTTTATTTTGTTTTATAAAAGCTTAAAAACGATTTGACTAGCTTTGGTGTGTTTGTGCGAGCGATTGTTGTTAATTCTTCTAGTGCCTTGTTTACATAACCAATAAATGGCGAATGAGTCCTTGCTGCACTCAGCTGAGCGAGCTACAACAATTAATGCTGAACTGCTGTGAGTATCTGTCACCCGATGGGTATACTCAGAGCGGATTGAAGAACTAAATGAATTATAATAGTTATCTATGATGCGGTATACTCGATCGTTTTGACGTTGAAGTGGTCATAAATTCGAATAGTCCTCTTGAAGACGTTACCACCTGGTACTTGGCCAGATATAACAGACGTTAAGGCAAAGAACATACGATTTAATTACGTTATTTTTATTAAATTTAATTATTTTAACATATGTATGCAATTTGAATAATCCATTAAAAAACTTATCTCGGTGTTGCTTCTCTCTTATCTCTATCTTGCAGTTTTGCCACGCGATGGACCTCACATTAGAGGGCAACAGCATCAGTATCAAATCGGTGAATACTTAACTTTAAACTGCACGTCGGGGAAATCACATCCAGCATCGCATCTGCAGTGGTTCGTCAATGAGCAGCCGGTAGGTCGTACGCACAAGGATTCAACTTTTTCTGTTACTTTTTATGTATTGTGTACCTTTTTGGAGCCCAAGCGCGCAAGTTGGCTCTACGAAAAATGTTGAAATTATGCATACAGTAAATATTTAAGCTGCTAACAATGAACCGAGAGCAGCCGAGACGGCGGCGAGTAGGAGAGTATTGTCCGAATCCTTGGCACAGCTGCCAATGTAGGTGCCAGAAATTATTTCACGAGCAAAAATCATGTTCAGCTTTGCCTATGTGCACAGCGCACCCAAACCACTGCAGTTGCCCAAAAGGCCTTGGAATGGTTTATGGCATGTTGTTAGTTGTCTGTAGGTGTAGCTGGGCCATCCATCTAGCTGAAAGCTCGTTACACGTTTACCGTAGCCGGTACACAAAACGGCTGCCGATCCGGAGCCGAGCATGAGGAATGAACAGCCAGCTAAGGGACTGGGCCCCACTGCATTTTATAGTCGTCGACTACATGCTACTCAAATTGTGTGAACCGAGGCGTTAAGGTACGAGTTAGTTCATCGTACCATGCTGCTGCTGCTGCTGCTGCTGCTGGTGTTGCAGAGCTTGGTCGTGCCTATGCCGCCCATCATTGCCGTCCACTTGTATAAATAAAAGAAAAATCAATAAGCACGATTAGGCACGTCTCCCGGTTTATATGCATCACGACAATGGGGATTACGTTCTCCACATTAAATGCTTATTGAATAACATTTGTCTAGCAGCTGCTCAGTATAAGCGCCTGCTAAATGTTGTTTATTTATTTTTTAGTACGCCTCCCTGCGTTTTAGGTCTCGGAACTAACAGGTGCAGATATTTTACAGTTTTAAAACAGTTTTAATTCTTGCATTGGCCCTGCTTCTGGCCGCAAAATGTCTAAAAATACATTGTACACTCGTCGCCCGAAACCTGTTTGTGCCCCGGTCTTTGACTTGGAATGCGGTGGGCATTTTAAATGGCCCCCATTTTGTAGGGTCTGCCTAGAAGCGTGTCCTTGTACAATGTTTTGTGTCAGGACAATGGACAGCTGCTGGCATTTGCTGCATGTTTGTTATGTCAGATCGGCAGCGGCACAATTGCGACCATTTGAGCCTGTTTAATTTATGCGTGCCAAGTTTAAACTCTCTTTCAACTTTGGAATTCAGCAGCTTTGTAATTTTTATGGAGGCTATAAAGAATGGCAAACCAATCGCATAACAAATGGCAGCCATTTCGCTCGCAAAGTGCCAAAGTACGCCGCCCGCATCCGCGCTCCGATTCAGACTCAATCCAAATCCAATATATGAGCAAAAAGTTCAAGCTATTTATTTTAGCATTTCACATTTTGTATCTGCACTTCGCATTTCTCTTGTTTATGGCACCAGGGTCTGAGCAAATGACTTCAATTTTTTCTCCCCAAGCATATGCGCCATAATGTTGCGCAGACGTGAGCTGCCCCCTCCCCTTAGCGCAATTGCTGTCAACGGTAGCATTTAAAGGGAGAAATTATAAAGCATTTGTTTGTACTGGTAATTGCAACCTTCAGCGCAGACAACTAAGTATTCCTGGGCGAACAAAAGAGCCATCTGGGCCTTGAGCGATAGCCAGACACGTCTGATATAGCCCGGCGTATACTTGTTGTCGTTCCTCATACGCTGAGTGCGGCTCTAATAACAAAATGCAATGCGGGCATCTACTGGGACGCCACTTAACTTTTACTCAGTCTCACACGGCGAACAGATAAGGGGATAAAATAAAAGAATGAAAGGAAAAGAGTCAAATGTAGCAACTTACTAAAAGCTTCGCATATGTCCGGGCTTACCTTGCAGATACTAGAGGAGCAGTACCTGCACAAATACAACGATATTGTGCACAAGCACGGGCTAATCACTTCGATACTGGGCCTGCAGCTGGAGCTGGAACCACGACATTTTCATGACGGTGACATGCGCGTCAAGTGCCTGGCTAGCATATCGCCAGTGTTGTGGAAGGGTGGCAGGGAGAGCATTTTACAGCGTCGTCCTGGCATTATTGACAATCGCGAGACAATGCTTTTGGGTGAGTGCACAGGAGGTGTGCTTTAACAGGCACCTATTTTAATTGCTTTCTCTTCCCATACCCCCGATACAGTGCGTAGCGATGCTGGACAGATTGAGAGCAATTTACTGCGTCTGCTGACCATCACCATCATCCTGGCGCGCATTGGTCAGTGGCTGCTCCAGCCTGAGCTGACCTAGGCTGACCTGTGGGCGGAGTTAAAGGCGAACGCATGATTTTCGATTCGATTCAATTCAATTCAATTCGATTCAATTCAATTCAATTCAATTGCAATTGCAGAGCATAAAAGGTGATTTTGTATACTTAAAGTGTAATATCTTTAGTTTCTAAGCGATAACCGATAACAGGAAACTCCCCGGCAACCACTCAAGTTGATGGCCCAATCAATAAGCATAAGTGTCTGAATGTGTAGTAGTAACTTAACAAAAAGAAAAATAAACTTAAATACATACTCACACTCAGAGAGACACATACAAAAAGATAATAGTTATAACAATCCATATTCAAATTGAATTGTGTCGTAACTTTAGACAAAATGTGGTAAATCTAGTGCAAATATCGTATCTCCCACATACACATACACATACACATACACATACTCATACATACAAGCATAAGAGGAAAGTTTTCAAATGCATATCTATCATTAACTGTTAACTTTTAGATGAGAGAAAATGGCAGACGGCGAGAGGAGGAGCTCTAACACCAACACCGTACGAAAATACGAAAATAGTTATTTAAATGTGTGCTTCATGTGTGTTTGTGTGTGTCCGTGTGTGTATCTCTGGCAAAATGAAATCCAATTAAAAACATTTTTACTCGAAAAAACGACGAGCATCCAAAAACTACTCGCACAATAAAAGGATGGCTGAGCTTAGTTTCTGTGTAAATAATTCAATGTAACCAAAGCGAAATTCAAATCTCAAATTTACCATACACTCATGCACACACAGCCGCACCTCACGATTATATTGTCTGCTTCAGAAATGTCATTTGCCTCATTTTCAATTTAAATACAGACCGACAGCCAGCCAACCAGCCAGCCGCCTGGATATTTGCGTTTGTACAAATAAATTGAGTTTGAGGGTGTTTCTTGTGGAGTAGCAAAGAGTTCAAGAAACTTGTAAGTTAATTAAATTCTGTTTTATTTATAAAGTTGAATAATATTTCACAGTCATCAGACTAGAAATAAGAGAAAAATGTCATTGAAATAATCACAAGTTAAGTCGAAAAAAAACTGATATTTAATGTATTCTATTTGGTTTTGATAAATTAGAATGATTATAATATATATACGAAAATGTTATAAGTAATTAGAAATTAAGCAGTTTTATTTATTTAAGAGCGTTTGTTTCATTTGTAGTAAATCGAAATAAAACTATGATATGCCAAAAGCGGCACCTAAAATACCTACATTAAATGTGGCATAACGCAAGCTCACTGTCTCTCTCTCCCTCTTCCCTATCTTTCTCTTGAGTGTTTGAAATATAAATGTGAAAACAAAGTTAAAGTCTTTTGTTTATATTGGGGTCAGGTATTTTGTCATGTATGCTTTTATCTACAGCAGACACGCACTCCGGCTAAGTAGCATACATTAACACCTGTATAACCGCAGTGAAGTTGTTTCAGTACAGGTGTTGCTCCTGCACCCGCAACCTTGCAACACAATGAAAGATACCAAGTTTATAAAGCAGTAAAGCTAAGCAAGAAACAGAATGTTTCAGTCAGGTGCTACCGACTGCATAACACTCATTCACGGGCGTAAAGCAGCTTCAAAACTTTGGAAGATGGATGTGGGAGTTAATAAGTCGCATGCCAAATTGGAAAGTACTAGCTCTCAAGCTGTATCTGATCTGTAGACACTATATCTTTTTGATCTTGGCTTATCAACGCTGGTATATGTTACAAGTTTTAATTATCGAGCACTTATTTAGTATTTGCCAATTTGCCACGCCTCTAGTGGTAGCATTGGCAAAGTCATTTCATCAGACACAGGTACCACTGAGTATAAGTTTAAAATTTCAAGTCTTTAGTTTCTAGCATACGAGCAGACTGACAGAAATTGCACGAAGCCAATATACTCCTTCACTTAGTAAATGAGTATAGCAACCACGTACAAATGTTCTGAGTAAACAAAAAACCGCAACTCGCGGAACACGCTAACGCACACACACAGGCCTGAACAAAATGGCGTTGACGAATAAAAAATAGAATCGTGCATCCTTTTAGGTGCGCGCGTAAAAATATCAGCAAAACAAAATAAGACATGGCCCAGGCGCTTCCACTGCGGCTTTTGCCAATTTGATGGAGTAGTAAACTTTATGCCATTCACGAAAATAGAAAGGCACGCAAAAGTTTCGCCGAAATGCGACAAAAAACGGAAGCAAAATTAATAAGAGCAGCAGGAACAGGCGGGACAACAGAGGCAGAAAAGCACACGCAAAGCGCGTCAAGATACGCGCCCCATAAAAGCAGTCCAAGGCGCGTTTGAGCACTCTAATCCCTACTCACCTATGGCTGGGATGGTCAAGATTTATGTGTAGCATGCATTGCATAAACGGCGCCATTTAAATGCTTCAGTTCGAAGTCTGGAGGCCTTTTAGCCTCGGGTAGGAAGAGGGCCAGAATTTATTGCCAATGATTGCATAGCTGATAAATTTATTTTGCACACAACTGGGCAGGGCAGAGCCAACCGCACCGCACACACCTGGAAGGGTGGTAATTATGACGCTCCAATCGACACTCGCGCTGCGTGCGTGTGTGTGTGCGGAAGTACCTGACTAAATTGCAGCACTGCAAGAGCAATTTCATTTGATTAAAGTTGCATTAAATAACTTCTTTTTTAGCAGCAATGATTAATGAAAGCACGGTAAATTATGACGGCTTCGTGGAAAGCGAAAAGTTTCTAATGAGTTTTCCGCGAACAATTTTCAATTAAATATGGTGCAAACCCATAATAAATTCTCTTAGTTTTTTGTCTGTTTGATATTAAAAAGAGTTCATGGAATTTAATAGCTTGGCAAACAAATTAATTGTTACGATTATTTAGCCCAGCACCGTTTCTGGAGAAGCTGAATTTATACATAAATTTACTCTAAAACACTGCTCTTGCATTCATATGCATAATTTATGTGCCCGAATTGCTTTATTCTGCACTTTTATGCCCCGGGTCCACTTTAGCCATTAATGGCAAATCAATATACGGAGCGATGCAAAATGGAATACAACAAAATAATATATCGATGATTGGAAAAAAGATGAAGCGAAGCATCACATGTGGAGATGGCAGCCTTGGCTCATGGCCCACCCCGTCCACCTTGGCTATTTGCATAATATTGATTCAATTTCCATGCAATACGGCCGAGCACGTTATGTCCTATGAAGAGTGCAAGTGCCGTCCAACGGCATGGGCATGACATGGACTGTATAAATCAATCTCGGCCATTGCAACTGCAACTGAATTGGGCTAATGGAAGGCAAATGAAATATAAGCATGAGATGCCTGAATGGTCAGAGAACACAAAATCTGCATAAATTTAAGCCAAGCTCGGCAAATGGATTCTGCCAAAGGCCAACATGCATAACCGTTCGAAAAACAATCGCGTAAGCGGCCAAAATCCTATTTGCCGCGCTGTGGTAATTAGGAAATTCACGTGCAGCAAATGCAAAACGTAGCCAAAACTGACATTCAATAAAGTCGCTTGACTTCTGTGGATTCATAATGATCTGGGTCTGGTCTGGGAATGGCAACTGCCGCATGCCGCCTCCTGTCTGATGAGGCCATCTATTGCGGAGGCCCTCTGACTGCCGATGCAAATGCTTACTGTTGCGGGCAGAAACGGGAGACTCGTCGGCGTCACGTCGCTTGTCTATCAGTGACAAAATGTCATTGTTAGGATACCAACTGCAGTTGGCCGCAGTATGCATGCAAAAGCCAGAAACTAGAACGCCACTTGCTGCTGCCTGAACTGACCAAATTAGTAGCCAAATGATGCTGTTTCACAGCAGGCATTTTGGTAACTTGTTTCGCGGATATTAAGTGGTTCAGGCATCTGCAGATGGCCTTAATCGAGTCGCTTTTCAAAATTTCACTCTGCTAGCTCGCTTCGTAAATCAATTTTGTAGCAAGTGCCGTCCCGCAATTAGCCAGACCAATTATGCTGTTCGCCTGGCTGCACAGAAGCCAAAACGTTGCTGCAATTATGCAGTAATTAGCATACAGTGAGTTCCACTCTAGGATGGCAGGAAATCAACAAGTCGTTCAAATGATGAAGAACAAACAATACAGAGTAAACTGCGCCTAATGATGATGTTGTCAATATAATTTGGGAGCATTTCATTATTCATTTGTATTCTTTACATTATGAGTCGAACAATTGGTGTGAGCTGTCTAAAAAGAACTAGATCTTTTGAATTTAGAGTGCCATATAATTTAGTTATGTAGCCTCCAGTCTATGGCCTAATGACTCATTCGCTTTAAAAGCTGAAACTTTGCAAATCGTTTAATGGAGGAAATTGTTTTGATTCCAGCTTATTCAGCAAGGAATCTGGCAAAGTTTTATGCATTTTCCCCCATTACCATTTACCTGCGAAAAATTCGATGTGATATTTTCCATTGTGGTACTAAATCGATAAGTTTGTTGTGGAAACTTTTGCCTTTCCTTGCAGCATCGTGGCATTGTTCTAGCCTCCCCTAGGCTAATGCTGTTCATTAGGCCAAAGCACAATAGCGTCGAGTGCGTCTTAACTGGTAGCTTTTATCTAGAATACATAAATTCATGCCCAGACGCCGTTCGGAGGCAACTTTTTAATGGTTTGATGTGTGTGAAGGCTTCTAATTAAGACACGCTCAAAGAAAAATGTTCCTGTGGCACGTAAGCAATGCTTCAAGGCGTAGGCGTGAGCGTGGGCGTGGGTGGACATTTTTCATTTTAGCCCAAGCATGTTTTGTTTACAGAAATCTTAAAACGCCGCAATTCGCCGCCTCATAAAAAATGTCGATGATGCGATTTGTTAGGCGTTCTTTTGACATAGTCAAATATGCTAATGCGACTCCGTTAATCAGGGTGGCAAACAGAGGCCGCGACAGCGCGTAATCAACTGGGCTGGACAGCTTATTAGCCGGCCTGTTATTTGCCCAGCAATTTGTATTCAACATTCGAATAATGTCTTTATATACTGCTCTTTTGTATATTTCTTTCCTTTTCGCGTGCCCAGAGTCGCACATTAAGTTTTAATGCCATATTTTATGCTTGGAAAATGTACATAAATTTATTTACTGGCCAGCCGAACTGTGTTGCGGTTGTCGGCTAATCAAATCAAAAGAGAGCGAGCGAGCCACAAGCCCACGAACGGCAATCCATGAATAACCAAGCAGACATGCAAAGTTTTTGGGCCACCTTAGGAGCTCGAGCCAAACAAAAGTTACACTCACATACACACATGTGCTCTCAAACAGAGTTTGTATCAGGCATTAAAATAAGAGAAATGGACGAAGTTGCCCATACGACCCGTTGCCTTTGCCTCGCTACAGAAGCTGGCAGGGAGCCAAAGTTGCCGCTAAACACAAACACAAAGCATGCAAGTAACACACATGCATATAACAACACATGCATACAATAATAATAACACCAACAACAACACCAGCATGAGCAACCCCAATAGCTTTTGTTATTCTTAGTGCACCTCTCGTAGGAAGTCGTTTTCTAGGAAGGCGCATGTATAATTAGAGCTATGAAGCATGTCCGGTGAAGTTTGCCATTGAAATATAACGGCAATGCAACAATCGCAACTCCCCTGCACACACACACACACACACACAAACACCTGCACGCTCAAGTTTGAATTGAACAAAAAAGTTTGCTCTTGGCTGCGATATTATTGCTATAGCTTTTGCTCCTGTTGTTGTCGTTGCTGGCTTTTGTTATTGTTGCTGCTGCTGCTGGCGTCGTCCAAATACATTTTATAATCCTACAAATATGCATCACAACAATTTTACATATGAATTTACGTGGTTGCCGAGTGTTCGTTTAGCCTTGGGTATGGTATGCTAGCCAACTAGGGTTAACCAGCCAGCCATGGCTGGAGCCCGGCCCCAGTCGACTTACGTGTAAAAAGTTTATATACAAGCTTATCCCTTGATTTATACAATAATAAGCATAAATGTGCAGAAAGGTCCTCCTGCACCAAGCACTTTGAAGTTAGCCTAAGGGAAAACGAAGCGACATTCAGATGGGGCAAGGTTTTTTCTTATGCTTGTACAGCAAAGATTAAATGGCAAATAAACATTACTTTAATTTTTTTTAATTTTAGTATTAAAAATGGTAAACTGGAACAAGAGCTTAAATTTGGAGCATTCGTTGAACTCGAATGAGTCGTAATTCAGCTGTGCCCATCGAATGCTAGAATACTTTACTTCGACTGCCAACTACCGAGCCCCCTTCTGCATTGTGAATGCAAAGAAATGCAATGAAACACGCCAACTTTTCGCCACACCAAAGTCAGCGCCAGCGTTTACTTTTATGGAGGATTGCGTTGGCTTCTAGTTCCACGGCCGCTACTGCTGCCCTAATGGGTGTGGCATTCCGAATGGCGTCAATGTTGTGCACATTACGGTTAATGCCGTTCAAACGCGGCACAGCAGAACTTTAAAGCGCGAGTTTATTGCCACATGCAATGGCAGCCAGCTGCCAGCTGCCAGCTGCTAGCTACCAGCTGCCTGCGGCACGAATCGGGCATCGTAATATATGCGACTGGGCGCCGCGTAATAATGTTAAATGTCAGGTGCACTGCAGTCGCAGTCGCAGTTGCAGTTGCAGTTGCAGTTCGCAATCGAAGTCGCTGGCAACAGCTAATTAAGTTGCCGCCGCCCGTGTGCCCAGTGGCCCCGGTGCGAGTTCTCTGTTAGTTGCCATAAAATATGCGCAGAGCCGACGCGTCGGCCAGACTCGAATTGGTTGGCTGTACGAGTAGAGCGAACAGACAGTTATCGCCAGCCGTTGCCCTGAGCCACGTGCACTTTATGGTATTGGCCAAGAAGAAAGCCGATTCAAGTCATGAAGCTTTCATTTGTTTTGCGCTTCAAATCTACACAGAGCACGCAACGGCAACGGCAACGGCAAGAGCAATGGCAACGGCAGTCCCTTATGCGGGTGACTGATGCACTTGAGAGCCCAGCCAAAACCGGAAGCCCAGCCCAGTAAATTAATGTCTTACTTGGCTCGCCAGTTAACTCTAGCTCATCCATATAAATAAATATGTGCATAAGCAAGCGCCCAGATACATTCAAGCAGAGCCCCTTGTGCATTAGCCAAAACATGTTTGCATTTCCGACAACAACTACGCCTGCAATTACACTTGCGCCTCAAGACGCTGCCTACTCCGAGCTGATACACAAATTTAGACATTTAAATCAGTGTTGCAACAATTTTAAATGATGTAGACAACCAGATGGTGTTAATTTAACTAGAAGATGTCACGTAGCCAGCTTTAAATTGCTTTTATTAAATATTTATATATTAGGCAATTGTTGTATCGGGCGCTTTTTGTAGAGTTATACAACTTTAAATCATAATAAAGTAATGAAATTTATGCTTAATATCAATGAAGCGGATTTTACTAATTTAATTTAATGACATTATTATTTAAATATGATTTTGGTCAATCTTGATCATCACCGTTGAACACACAATCACAGCAGTAAACCCCATTCTCTAACTCTCCCCAATCAGTCATGTAGTTCATCAGCCAGTTTTAAACAAAATACTCCTTATATTTTACTAATGCAGTTGCTAAAATTATTCCCAAATGCAACATATTTTCATTTAAAAAATATAATTTTCCATTTAAATTCGTATACAGCCTGAAGCTTTGCTCCGCTAAAAGCAAAATATTTGCTTTATATTCGTCGCAAACTAGTCAATGAAAAACTATTTAAAATCGAATATTTTAAAAATGAAATTGCAACGAAAATAACAAATGCAGAATGCAGAAATAAAATATATCAAGCCGAATCTTTAATATTCCAAGAGAGACTTACTGTGCGCTTGCATATTTTAACTTGATGAAAATCATGATAGTTCAGTTTTTTCGACATTAGCTCATCGTCAATTGGTTGGCTTTGGAAATTGGCAGCAAACACGTCATGTTCATTAGGACACGCCCCCACTAACTGTATATTTACTAAGAGCCAAACACATATACGAATTGCCATCAGTTGGCATGACTGAAAGGTACTTTGCAGTCCTTCTTGGCCTTCTTCTTTTCCAACTTCTCTCTTCGATTCATGTAATTTGCTTTTCATTGATTAAATAGAAAATAGCTTAGTTTTATTTGCGCGCATGCAATTAATTAAATTACCGCTGTCCAGAAAGCCATCAAATGAGCAAATGGCTTTTCGGCAATAGAACACAGAAACGCATAAAAACTGATGGAAGACGGATTTGATTTTCGCTTATTGAATCATCATTTGAGGCGCCACTTTATGCAAATTTCACTTTATGCACCACCATTTACTTTTAGTTTCGTCTGCTGCGGGCCTTGGCTGATAGCGAGCTCGTTTTAGCGCACAGTTTACGACTTTATTTCATGACTGTTTGTCATTTAGGTGTAACACGACAGTGTTTTCATAATGTCGGTATTGCGTTTTTAGTTCTCGGCTCGGCATGAGAACCGAAGTTTTTAGAGCCCATACATCATGTATTTGAAACCATATTAAACACATTAAATATGCCAGCTACTGGCACGTGCCGTCAAACGGCGTTGTTAATAAAGCTAAAACCGCCTCTCTTACACAAAAAAAAAAAAGAAGCAAAACACAATAAAAATGAGCAAACGACCATTTAAATGGGAAATTTGCATTGAAAATATCCGCTTAGGCTTATTGAAACGTTATTTAATTGAAAATGTCATGCGTGTTTATTTATAATTTAATTACTTCAAGCTTAACTTTATCGATTGCAATCATACTTTACTTTTAATTAGAACAAATTAATTCAGCTTTAAGTGCCCATCGGATAATTAAAGTGCTGCATATATACATACATTTGAGCTAATTGGATTCAAAAGATATTTGATATTGGCGAATCGAATTTAAATGACAAATTTCGATAACAAAGCTATCCAAATTTAATTAGATTTCTTATAAATTAAAAATAAAATAATAAGAAAAAAATTTTGTCAGAAGTGGGATTCGAACCCACGCCCTCAGAGAGGACCAGAACGCTCATCGACCTTTGTATGAAAGGCAAGACTTTTAAATCTTGAGTCTGGCGCCTTAGACCGCTCGGCCATCCTGACATGTTGAAAACGAGTAGCCAAAGCGTCGTAATTAACGAACGAGAAGAGTAAATATTAAGTTTAAGTTACTTTAAGAACGATAAGATTCTTTCTTCTCTCTCAGCACACACGCAGAGTAATAACAACACCAACAAACACGCGTTTTCGCGCCCTTACCTCGACGTCAGCATTGCATGTCTGGTTGTTATTTATAGACATGCCATACTCTCTCACTGTGTCGTCGTTCTTTAAAAGCTCAAGCGTGTGTGCTTTCCGAACTGAACGAAACTTTAATTTGTAGCATACTTATATGCGCTCTGCATTTTTCAAGAAATTTAAATTCAAGGCATACTCTTAGGTTGTTTAAGTTAAACTATTTAATGCGCTTAATAGAGACGCATTATGAAAATTCCACTTTCAATTACTTTTACGCATAGGTGCTATAACAACATAACATTCTTTATGAGACTTTATAATAGTCCGATCCTTAAGTGGGGATGAGGTAGCAAACGGGAAATAACTTTTATATAGTGAAAAGCATTTTGCTTCTTTAATTGAATCCTATTTCGGTTTTATGTTCAGCATATAACATTTCAATGCTAAGAGCAGCACAAAGGGCATCTCACCCAAGATACCTTAATCTATTATATGCTGCTCGATTTGCTCTACAGTTGCCGTGCCGTCGCTTGGCAATCACATTGATAAGTCCGCTTATAAATCACAAACGTCCGTCGACAAGCAAGGAGCCGCCGGCTTAGGCTGCCTAGCCGTCTTGGGTCGGCAGTGGCACGGCGCATGCTTTTAAATCGATGAGCATAGCGAAATTGACAATGATTTTTTAAAAATAATTTTATTACTTCATTCAGTGGGGCATTCATGCAGACGGATCCATGCACAGCAATGGCAATAGAAGTCCATCAGGACTATCAGCCGACGTTCCCTATGATTGGATGCAGTCATGCGTGAATGTAAACGCTGCCTCGACCCACTCAAGAAACACTAATTCGAATTTCATCAGATTTTTGCTTTGGCTTTTAATTAAATGACCAAAATGAAATCAAATTTGTCTTATTTTTTAACTTTTCTCAAATTTGGCAGGGCTCAAGCTCGCCTTAGGGCCAGCGTGCGTCGTACTGTTTGATGACATAACTGAGCTTCTTGATAGCTAGATCCACCTGTTCGTCATCTACCTGATGATACAGCACTAAACGCATAAACTCCCAATTGCGCGCGCTGGCCTTCAGCACAATGCCCGCTCCGTTATGGCCAGTTACGCCAGCCAACAGTTCCTCGGGCTCGATGACAGCCAGGCGTTCCGCAAACTGACTCGCAGTCAACTTTGGCTGCTTAATCTGTATCAGCAAAATGTTACTTTGCACCGTTGCCAGATCCACAACTATATTGGGACTCCGAAGCTGATCAATGCCTTTTTGAGGAAATGTGAGAAAAAGTATAGATTAAATTTGTGAATGTGAATTTGTGATTGGACTTACTTTTTGCAATGCGCTTGGTACGATCATGGTCTGCTGGCAGCAGCGGCACCACCTCTTCCAAGGCCACTAAGCCAGCGGCCGCCAGGATTCCCGCCTGTCGCATGCCACCGCCCAAGGCTTTGCGGAGTCGGTGAGCTCTTCAAAGAGGCAGCAAGTGATCAGCCAAATATTACTTAGTGAAACTATGCAATACCTACTCGGCAATAAATTTCTTAGAGCCAACTAATACAGAGCCCACAGGTGCAGACAAACTCTTGCTCAGACACACCGAGACCGAGTCAAAGCCACGAGCGATGCGCTCAACGCTAACGCCCAAAGCTGCTGCTGCATTGAACACACGAGCACCGTCCATGTGCAGGCCAATGCGAACAACACCCAATCCTGAATCGCGCACCAATGACACTACCTCGTCCAGATATGCAAGAGGCAACACCTTGCCACCGCAAATGTTGTGGGTGTTCTCCACCACAACCAATGCGGTGACCGGTTCATGACAGTCCTCATACTGTCGTATCTTGTGCCGCAGCTCTTCCAGGCTAAAGGTGCCATCCGGCTGATTCCTTAGCGTGGCTAATTGCACGCCAGCCAAGTGCGCAGAGCCACCTAAGTGCGTTTGAGATATGGCTGTAGTAGCTCGTATTTATGGCTCGGGGCTATCTTACCTTGCTCATAGAGAAAGATGTGTGATAAGTCGCCCACAATGGCCTCCGAGCCGCGTCGCTGGCAATGAACCATAACTGCAAGCAAATACATACGTAGTTAGTTCATAGTAAAGCAGTCAGCGTAGTCGGGGAGCTCGGCGAATTGGACTTTAATAAAATGGCGATCCCATTAGAAATATTAGTTTGGGCCGGGAATAACACTAAGCAGCCAAGAAGTTTACCTCACTGCAGCTACCCACGCCCCAACTAAACTACATAAAAATAAATGTTATGATTATGGGTGTGCCCTTAACCTTAACGATTATGAGCCTGATGCATGATATGGCCGTCTTTTCGAAGCATTTCTGTTTGTTTTTGTTTTTGTTTCCGTTGGAAGTTTCAATTTCACTTTCCGCAAAGTAAGTCTGTTCACCTTAAGCTAATAAACATCAGCGGCCCAGAGCGAATTAGATGAGGAGCGACTCAGTTTAAACTAATATGCATCTACGTGTCCGAGGCTGGGGCTCCTTTATTAGATAGTCCGTCCCTAAATTGCCTAGCAGTGTTATTTATGTGCACGTCGTGCTACTTACCGGCTAAAAGATTTCCCATGGTGCCGCTGGGCACAAATAGGCCAGCCTCTTTGCCGAATATTGCAGCTGTCTTTGCCTCCAGCTCGGCGAGAGTGGGATCCTCGCCGTAGACATCGTCGCCCACCACCGCGCTGGCCATGCGGGCCCGCATCTCCGGGGTCGGCTGACTGACGGTGTCCGAGCGCAGGTCAACAACGTTGTTGTTGTTGTGGCTAGCCATTTTATGCTGTTCTACGGATGGTGAAAATTGGATTTGGATGTGGATGTGAGCAGTTGTTGAATTGAAAATTGACTTGCTTCAATTTGCAATTTGCCAAGCCGTTCCATACAAGGAAAAACGTCAATTAAGATACAATCATTTGCATAATCATTTATCACATTGATAAACTTTATACGGATTTCAAATATAGACAGTAGTTGACCTGGATGTAACACTTATAAATATGCAATTGAGCTTGGTATTGATAACGCTTGCAAATGCTCAACACAATTCAATGCTCTTTAATATATATATATATATATATATATATATATATATCTATATATATATATATATATATATATATATATATATATATATATATATATATATATATATATATATATATATATATATATATATATACATAAATATATTTACAGGTACACAGTAGAGTGCAAAAACATCACACGTGTTTGCTGTTATAAATAAGTCCACAAAAAGTTTCGCTCACAGCGGCAAACGCATTAACGTTTACTTAAAGGTAATTGAATTATATCAAATTCGCAGCACATCAGTAAATCAACAACAACTCACGAAAAGTATAGATTCTAATTGAATGGGAGCCGAGCACAAAGAAAAAACAGAACCAGCTTTGCTCGAACTGAGAAAACGAACTGAACACAACAGCTGGCAGCAATCACCCCATGTGGTCTTCTGTTCGCTTCCAGCGGAGCAGATTTCCCATGAGAGTAGAAACGTTATTGCTTGACTGAGCGAGCTTCGATCGAAGAGCGGCACATTGAGTGCCGTAGCAGCGAGCCATTGACAGACCTACAAATATGATTAATTAAACTTTATCCAAGAAACTAGAAAGTATTTAATATAATAGTATTTTACGATATATTTTACGATGTATATTTTATATATAATAAACTAGATGTTATATGTGTATATCAAACTTCTATTATCCATGGTATTCGGGAATGGGACCAATTGAAATTCACTTACCTCTTCTTCTTTTACGTAAGTTATCAATAAAACAAATTTATATTTGTATTTATATTTCACTTAACTTGAAGAGTTCAGTTCAAGAGTTTCCTTAAACGCAATAATTAAAACAAAATGTTTATTTCTTTGGTATTTTTTATTCAATATTTCAGAAATTTTCACTAAAATTGTTTCTAATTCTAACATTGTTTATTTCTAGTTTAGTTTTGCTCATCTTAATTGGCCAACAACAAACTGCGTCACTTTCAACTATATTAGGTACGATTTAAACGGTTAAACATTAAAAACAAATGAAATTTACTATTTGTATACTCGAGCCATAACTCTCAAAGGACATCTTTCCATGCTGCTGAAACTAATTCGACTAACTAATAAGTTAAGTTATATAAAACACAACATGTCCTCGCTCGGAGGTTCGGGAACATTGTTAGGCATACGGATAAAGCTACGTCTGATATCGCCGATCGTATTATTGTAATTATTATCTTACCAACTAAACTATAACAAATATTTCATCTTTCTTTTCGCTTTGTCTCCTTCCTTCTCCCGGGTCTGGCAATTCGCCGCTTCATACATAAATATACGTGTTGTAAAATGTATGAAAATAATTAAAAATAAATATTTAGCAATTAGTTTTATGTTATAGTCTTTTCAAGAACTTTCACTCTAGCGCAATGTAAGTATAATTTAGTTCTGCTCTTAGAATCAATTTAAGTTCATGTACTTCTGTATATGCGTTGATTTGCTTTTGGCACCTACTGTGATAGGATTAGTAGTAATTTATAGTTTAGCTGCTCAGGAAGTGTGTGTTATGTGTTTTAGTGTTATAGTGCAGTGTGCTGAAGGTACTTCATTTAAGATTAGACCACATAACCATTCGAGCCAATCTGTCGGCCAACTCGGTTACATACATACATGCTGAACAACATGAACCAAAGAAATGCACGAGAAATTTCGTCCATTCATTTGTTTGCCTGCTCGCAATTGTTTTGGTTGTTTTTTGGTATGTGCAGGCAGAGCTGCAAGGATATCGTAGGACAGCGCGACCTTTTACAAAGGTCCCCGTCACGATCTATACTCTTAAGTCTAGACAGTACACAAGACACGCAAACTTATAGCTAAGTTTAGACTCTAACTCAGTTTTGGTAGCTTAGCGCTATGACGATGCGTCTGGATCGGAGCCGTCAAGCTCGCCGGGCGGATTTCGCTTAATGCAGTCCCGTATACTTTGCAGAATGACGCCAACTCGGCGATCGAGCGCATCCAGATGGGGCTGCCAGAGCACCGGACTGATTGGATCAACGCTCAGCGACTCGCTCAAAACCTGCGACAGCGTCTTGGGACCATTGTGGAATCTGTCGGCAAAACAATAACCAAATGTCCAATTCACTTTGCATTTTTACAGTCTGTGTACTCACTGTAGCAGTTTGATGAGCGTCGTCTTGCGTATCAGGCAGCACTGCAAAACTGGAGCCAGTATGGAGAGCTCATCGTGGTAGGGACGCCCGAAGCCACGGCCGTGGTCCAAGTGCAAGGGGAACGTCTCGTTGCCATAGATTCTGCAAAGAAATGTAAAACAAGTATTGTTGTCAAATTGCAAATACGCCCCGTGCTTAGCATTGCATATGCATAATTGCCAGCAAATGTGATTAGAGACAAACACCAGAGATCGGCTTAGCAGTCAGGTGTAACCGGCCAGCGACAATGGCAATGGCAATGGCAACGGCAACGGCAACGGCAACGGCAACGGCAACGGCATTAGTTCAGCAAACGCCGCTCTGCATAGCAAACACTATTGCAGGCAGAGCACCTGGCGGCATTGGCATGCATGATGATGCAGTCTGCTGCCGTTGCCACGTCCGTCGTCCGCCGCCTGCTGCCTGCCGCCTGCCGTCTGCCGCCTGCCGTCCGCCGTCTACCAGCTTGCCGTATGCTGTCTTGAGCAGCCGACAGATTTAGCTGCTTTTTGCAGCATGCATGCAAATATCTTTCCGAGGCATTTGCTGCTACCGTCGAGCATGCTGTGCGGCAGCCTTGCCAAATATATAGACAGGAGCAACAAGATGCAGTGAAGCGTGTGGGATACGTATACGTAATGCGCTACCCACATGGTAGGCATGAAGCCAACAACGCCAGTTATGCGGAAATAAGCCAATCGCATTAGGTCTCAGGCCAAAATCGCATTTGCGACTTGGCTTATACTCACTTGAAAGTCTCGTAATGATGGCGATCCATGTTTCCTGTGAGAAAGTCAAATACAGCCATGTCCATAAGATCAAGCAAACGTCGGCCTTCATCGTAGGGCGGTATGTCGCGTACCTTTGACAAAAATCAAAATATCTGTTAGAAAATAACTAACCAAAGGCAAATTAATGCTGGTCCTCTGCGGCTTAATTAAGTCGGGGCCGATTGCCAGTAAAGCAGCTCGACCGAAAGTAACAAATAAAAACATTTGCATTCCACTCCAGCTAAAATGCAAATTAAGTAAAAATAACCGCAGCAGGAAAAGCTACAGACAAAGCATTGCGAGCACAACCGGAAGTGGAAATGAAAATGGCACACAAAATTGGGGTAAAGCAAGAGGCGACCGTCCCTTCGTCCGCCCGCTTGTCGCCTTCTCATCCAGTAAGTAGCCAACTGGGCGACTCGTTTACTTACCAGAGCACAATAATTGGCATCTGTCTCCCACTGAGCCTTCTTTCGTTTGTGATAGGAACGTCGCCAAGGATGCCGCCAGAGCTGTGGAAGAGGAAATGTCAGCACAGAATACAAAATCAATATCAATTTGAGCTGCACAATGTAAAAATCTAAAGCTGCTGAACGGCATTAATATGCTACGAGTGTGCGGCGGGTGGCTGATGGCTAAAACATTTATTTCTCATCTCGCAATACGACAATATTATTTCTGTCCCGTTTTGTACTTAGATATTTTTTTTTTATTTTCATTTTTATTTCTTCATTCCTTGCTCGTTTTTTACTTAGCTGAATCGTTGCTGCACTCACTATAAGCGAAATTAAATTATTTGCCAGGCTACCGAGAAAAGTAATAAAACTTTATCTAGCATTTTGCTTGGATTCGCGGCAGCATTCATGTCCACTCGGACCTCAACGGCCGCAACTTACCTTCCGTCCCTATGCAATAGGCAATGGCAAAGAGTGCGTTTTGGTTGTAGCGAAGCATTTTGGGTTCGTGGGACGCAACAACAACAATGCAGTAACCAAAAATATGCAGAGAAATTAAACAAAAAAACGTTGAGATAAAAATCATAATAATAAAATTGCATAGGCAGGACAAGGCGCGGCAAGCCTGTGTAATGACCGGAAGCCCGCACGGGCCACAAAATGCAGCAGGAGGCGTAAAAGCAAATAGAAGCCAGAAAAAAAAATGGATGCACACTGCGGACGCAGAGGCAGCCGCAAAATGCAAAATGCAAAATGCAAACACAAAGCCAACACGTAAAAGTTAGGTAAGTTAACGTTCACATCGCGACGATGGGCCAAGGATTGTTTGCATATAAAGCAGATCCCTCCACCTGCTCATAAAGTGCATAAATCAAGCGAAATTAAATTTCCACACAAAAAGACAAGCGCTGAAGAAATGAATGAAAAAAAATATGGCAAAGCGGAGTATGAGGTAAGCAAATTTTTAGAATTCTGCTTAAACGCTGAGAAATGCTGCAAAAATGCGCTCAGATGAAAGTTGATGACAACCAATTTAAAAATGTTAAGCAATAATATTTAAGCAAAAATATGAAATGGAAATGGAAATGGCAAAATCAGCTGAGGCGAAAATATGAGTACATTAATATATGTATTCAGTTCAATGTAAGCTAAGTTAACGTAATTTCTGTTGCTTAATTTAGTTCTGCGGTCAGCAATTAATGCGAATGCAAATCAAATTTTGCAACATAATTAAAATGCTTCACAGTTGCGTAATTGTTTGTTATTTTGCTCTTAGGCGCAAAGGCAACATCTAAGAATCGTAAAAGTGAATTAAAGCCAAAAGACAACAACAACAGCAGTGGGGATAAACCTCTGCTTTGTTTTCTCAAGTAAAATGATCTCCTGTGCATAATTTACAGTTTCGCCTTACCCTAAGTCTCTGGAAGACTTTTAACCGTTTTCTACTTGTTAACTGCAAGAAGGCAAAGCCGAAAACAAGTAGAAAAAAATAAATAAAATAATTCCTTTGAGGGAACAGCAAAAAAAGTAGTAGATATATAAATATTTTAGCTGCGGCAAATCTGTCTAAGGGACACGGTGTAAGGGATGGAAACCCTTCAAAAATGCTGTTGGCCAGGCTGAGCTTAGGTTTTGCCTTAATTTTGCAGCTATTTGCATTTAAAACCCGTTGCCTCTGTCCCCTTTCGGCTGGAGAGTATTTTAGAATTTATTAACGTCCATTCGGGACGCTGCATTTATATTTCATTTTACGCTTTACGACCCGCTGAAGAACTGATACAATATTTCTGCTTTCAAGCAACTCAACCACCAGGCCAGAGTACAAAATAGAAATAGAAATATAAATAAAAATAAAATATGAAATTATGTTAATGAAATGCGAGCTTTCGGGGCAAGCAATAAAGCAATGAAGTGCCATCCAAGTAAGTAACTAGTTAAGTTCTGGCATTTATTCTAAGCCAAGCAGATATCTTACCAGCCCTAAACTAAATGGTCTGCTACCCTTTAGGGCACTTCGTTTGCAGTTTATATAAAGGTAGCACTTGCAGACAGCTTACCTGTTGCGGCGCTGCCACAATACATACACACATGTATGTATGTATGTACGAAAGCACGTGCTTAGTGAATAATGTGATTTTTTATTTAGTTTGGCCAAGCGCACGAAATTAGTAATGAAAGCGGAAGATTCCCAGCAGCAAGCAGAGCATATAAATTGTAATCTGGCGCTGCTTTGAGAGTTGCTATGCATTAATCAAAAGCCACTTAGCTGGACCTACTACTGGATCCTACCACATGCGTCGCACATAGGTTGACCACCATGAGACCCATATGTATGTGTTGTTTTTTGTGGAGTGCTGAGAGTTGTTTGCTGCTGACCTACCTTGCGATTGGAGGTTTCGAAGCTGGGCAGAAATGCGGCGAAGGAACCCTCCAGCATGTCCGGATTGCCACAAATGGCATGCGAAGTGTCGCAGTAGTACGAGCACTTGCCATGGAAGCATAAATTCAACGATGGCGAAACAAAGAATGTCTTCAATAAATTTTCGTCGGCCAGTTGATAAATTTCGGTCGTTATGTTCAGCGTGCGACCAGCCACAGGCATTGCGCGACGAAAGCCCAGGACTCTGAAAGACAGAAGAAAAAACAAAAAACGAAAATAAACGATGAGCACTGGGCGAAAAATAGGTGGTAAATAAACATTTTAGCTAGAGTGCGTGTGCCAAGTAAACGTATTATACAGATATAAATACTCGACTTACAAATACTCTACAGTACATAAATACATTTCTTGGATTCAACTACTGATGAATTTTTGTATTGATGCCATCTGCAAACTTTAGCCAATAGCACCCTGAGGAAATGAAACAAATCTATTTTCGAGCATCTGCCAACTGCAATGCATATGTCTTAGCAGCACTGGATGGAGGATGAAGTGGCCAAAAATTGTTTTGGGCACATGAAAAATGTTCGGTGTCTGCTGAGTGTCGCCCGAGGTTATCAGGGAAATGCCATAATTTTGGCAGCATTTCATTATGCTGTGGCCAGCGGGCTCTGGTTTCCTGGGAACCCTTGTAACTGAGATTTGATTATGTGTGCGTGTGCGTGTGCGTGTGCCTGTGGGTGTGCGTGTGTGTCTGGCAGTCACAACAATTATAAAAGCTGTTTTATTTTTGTTATCTTAAATCTAAAGCGTTGAAACGGAACTCTGATTTTAAGAGGGAATCAAGCTTTTAACTATGCCAACAATTTGAATCTAAATTGCGGTTAGACATGTCAGAGCGCCTATTAAACGGTTCTAATTTATGACTAATTAAATTGTATTAAGCGAACTTTTAAATAATACACAACACTCCTTGTAGTGAGAAATTAGTTGCGAGCATTTAACTCTCGGCACTGTGTCGTTTCGTCGTCATAAATAATAAATATTAATTGTGTTTGCGCTCGGACAATTTCGCAGCTCTTTGGGCATTAGTGTCAAACTTATAATCCCACAAATTTACCCAATCCTTGGATAATACTCCTAACGAATTTTAAATCTGAAGTGATTTTCATGAGTTACGATATTCATTTATCATAGAACCCTTACATTAATTTGTTTTTAAATATTGTAATACCCTGAACCCATTGAAAATGGAATTATAGGGTATAATGAATTTCTAAAAGTGTATGTAACAGGCAGAAGGATGCGTGGCAGATTCCTGTAAACAAGATGCAGTCCGAGCTTATTAAATTTTATTTTTATAACTTATCATTTTCCCTATTATCCATAAAAATTGATAATTTGACTTCGTTTTTAAGGGAAGTTATAATACCACAAAAGATGGACTAATAAATTTACTGAGTTTGTATATTTTGCATTGTTCTCCAAAAAAATACATAACAATGGCAATTAAGAAATTCGATCGAATTGATAAGTTACTAACTAAATAAGTTCCCATAACTGTGTGTATTATTTGTAATGTGTAAGTATTATATATCTATCTATAAACATGTATGATTCGAATATCACCTCCTCGAAAGATTCAGGGTATCTCCTAGTAGAGCAGTTCTGACTTACATTTTATTATTAATTTATTTATGAAATTTGATATTTTTGTAAAGAGAAATTTAGCGTGAATGCTATAAATTCAATAAATTAAATTGGGTTCCTTGCATTTCAATTGAGGTTCTTACTTATTTCATTATTGCATTCTGCTGCAAAGTCTATTCCATATATTTTTCCATTTACATAAATATTTGCATTCAATTTGATAAATGTAATTAAAAGTGAACTCTAAAATAAATATGCGGTAATTTCGCATTTCGCATTCGAAAATGCTTGCAATTCGATTTTTATTGCATAAATTGTAACTGCATATTTAATACGGCTCACTGGGTTCCCCAATGGTATTTGGTGAACAAGAGAGTAAAGGTGAATAGGGCAACTCACCTGTCCAAGTGGAAGGCTGCAATCTCGGCATTGTGGCGTTCGTAGTCTGTGAAGTAGAAGTGATTGGGCAACGTTTGCTGGTCCCGTGGAAAGCTGAAAAAACAGATTGAAAATAGCATACAAAAGATCGTAATATAATGAATTGAATTTAATGTGCTGCCTCCATTTTGGAGTTAAGTGCATTTGCATATACGGCGTGAAGAAGCTGCGACTTTCTGCAGAAACGCACACACAAACTGCCGAGCAGCTAGCAGTCGGACGGATTGAATGGACTGAATGGCCGGACGGATGTGGGCGGTTAACTGGTGTGGCTACCTGATTGCTATATGCCTGCTTAATTACTTACATTGCGACACCACAGCGTAATTCAAAAAACGTTTCATTTAAATTGCAAATGAAGAACATTAAAAGGACACTTTACACTTTACTTTGACAACTGCAGCGGTTGCCCAGCTGTGCACTGTGCACTGTGCGCTGTGGCCGTGGCCTGGCCCGTGAAAAACTGGCCAAGCGCCGCGTTGAAATCTCATTAAAAATCGCGTATAAATGTTCAAATTACGAGCTGTATCAAGTGCCCTCTGCAATCCGTTTTAAGCGCATTGCAGCATTGCATTGAGCTCAGCGCCAAACGCGCCCATGCGGTGGCCACAACGAAGAAGTCAATGTGGGTAAATTATATTTACCCAGGTCGAAAGTGCTGACAAGTAGCAATTGCAGCAATTGTCAATTTGATCAATATTTTCGATCGTTTCATTTTTTTTAAGGGTCCTTGCTGAAGAACTCATACTTACCGCATGGGCTTCATTAGAGCCTTAACGTCATTCGGATATTCAATGATCAGCTTCAGCTGGGTGCCACCCTCCTTTTGCACTGTGAAACGGAAAGAAAACAATTTCATTATTATTTCATTGCGTTGCATATATATGCCAGTTTAATTAAGGAAAATATTTGTTGCTTAAATTTTTGCTGCTCAGCACAGCAATTTGCGCTTCGTTGCACACATAATTGGGCCAGACGGAGAAGAAGAAGAAGCTGCTGCAACACCACCAGCAGCAGCAAAAATAGCAGCGAGCTTCACTGATATGGCAATCATCGAAATTGCATTAAGGGAAAGTGCATGCACAAATTACACTTGACTAAATTGCAATTAAAATGCATAAAGTCCACAAAAATATTGCGTATACGCACGTTCGCCGCAATGAAACCGAATTGTTGTGTGTGCAGTCAACTGCGCATTGAGCAAGACAATAATAGACACATCAAACCCATATTTTACTGCTCACAAATGTGTGTATTGAAAGACGAAAATCTGTTATGTCTACAGCCCATACAGAGAGAGAGAGAGAGAGGAAGCATAGGTACAGTAAAAACAAATTAAAATCTGCACAAATACCATTAAAATTCTATGCCAGAGGTTGGCATACAATGCGCAAAATGCAATAAAAAAACTTTCAATTGCAGAGCACAATGAAATGTTCTATGAATTCCTTTAATGACAACAAAGAGATTCTTTTACCAATCAAAAAGGTTAGATATTTCTAGCAAATATTACAGATATTAGTTAATGTACAAAATATACCTTTTAAGATAGGTCGTACACGTGATAGATGCTAGCAGCTCTGTATATAAAGTTGCATAAAGCACAACACTTTCAACTGCTGAGCACAATTAAATATTTTGCAAATTCTTCTTATACCAACAAAGAGATTCCTTAACAGATCAAAAAGGCTTGGAATTTTAGTAGCAGTACGATATAAATATATCAGTAGTAGCTGGATCTCTAATTTATGAAAAGTTGCAATGCAATAAAAAAAACGTTCAACTACAGAGCACAATTAAATGTTTTATGAATTCCTTTAATGACAAAACAGAGATTCATTTACAAATAAAAAAGGCTTGACATTTCAAAATATGTATAAAATTTCAGAAGCAGTGCGATATATATCACTTAACATGGGGCGTATACGTGATGGATGCTTTCAACTGCAGATCACAATTAAATGTTTTCCAAATTCTTCTTATACCAACAAATAGAATCATTTGCAAATCAAAATGGTTGAGCATAATAACATAATATATTTAAGATTATCATTTACAGTACAACATGTCCCATTCAACATGGGGCGTATACGCGATAGCTTTCAGCAACTCGCGGCTAAGGCCGTCTAATTTATGAAAAGTTGCAGCCTTAGAGCACATGAGACATTGTTGTTGTCATTGTTGTTGTTATTGTTGGCGCACAGAGTAGGCAAAATGAGTTTCGCACTTTGTGTTGAACATTTTACATTGTGTGCTGTTGCATGGTTTTCTTTTCTTTTGTGCGCATGCTGCAAAAGTTTATTATTAATAAATTAGAGCCGTAGTAAAGTTTCAAATGAAAATAGTTTCGCTGCCACCTTGGCGGCTCTCAATAATCCAAGCAAGTTTTATAACGCTCCTTTGCATAATTAAGTCAAATGTGCAGCCAGCCAAAGGGCAAATAAGTTTACGAAGGCAATCCAACTTGAATGCTAGCTGGCATTGGCAGGCGCCCCGCTATTTATGGCCATAAAGAACAGCTACAATTGCGAGGCTGAGTTTGCTGTTTGCTTGGGCTGTGTGCAATATACATATGTAGTACTTACCCACATGCTGTATTGGCAGCTTGATCATGTCACGTAGCACCGCATCGACCAGGGTATCCTGCTCGCTGTAGAGCTCCTTCTTGGTAATGCGCAATTGGAAACGTTCCAAATTGCTGGCGTTTGCTCTGCAATGTAAGTAAGACGTAGAAGAAACTTTAGTCAGCTGCCGCTTTGCGTGTATAAAGACAGACAATCAGGCAGCTTGAGGAATACGGCGGAAACGCTTATAAGCATGCTACGAGTGCGCTTTGGGCCACAATGCGAGTATCAAGTTGATGTAATGATTGTCACATTGATTTATCAAAGCAGCCGCTAACCGGCAGCTGCTACAGGAAATCTTCGGTATGCCACTCTTCACTCTCTCTTTCTGTGTGTACATTTGCCATGCCAATTTTTTTTTTTTTTTTTTTTTTTTTTTTTTTTTTTTTTTTTTTCGTTTTTATTTCTTTATTTTGTTGCAGCTTATTGTCTTAGACTCTATAGCGCATTTAGCTCTAAACCTTAACTAATGGGAGGGCAGATATGCCAATTATTCTGCACTTGTAGCTACTATCTTAATTAGTTCTAATATTGTCTAGAGGATGCAATCTCTTCAGTCTTCGCCTATTGTTGTTTATAGCCAGGTTGCTTGCGAGATGGTTAGGATGCGCTGCAAGTCTGTCCGCGTATCTTGAACTGTGTCGCCCAATGAGTTCAGCAACTGTGGGAATTGCTAAATCCCTATGTAAGACTGAGTTTCTTACAAACCAGCTGGCTCCAGTCCATCTGCGTAGTGCTTTATTCTGCAGGGTCTGAATTTTGTTCCTTGTAGTCTTCGCCGAGGAGCCCCATAGAGAGATACCATATACGAAGGTTGGGACAACTATTGCCTTGTAGATGGCGGCCTTGCTGCTGTAAGACAACTTGCTTGAAGCTCTCAGCATCCAGTCGAGGGTTTTTAGCTTGCTTTTGCATTTTGAGGTTACTTGACTTATGTGCGCTTTAAAAGTCAGCCTTCTGTCAAGAGTGATACCAAGGTACTTTACTTTTGAGGCTTTGGGAATAGTGGGCCCCAATGCAACGCTTGGGCAATCTCCTCTTCTAGTGGCGAAGGTAGTATGTACAGACTTTTGTGCATTAATGGTGATACACCACCGTTTTGCCCAGCGTCCGAAAGAGTCCAGATATTTTTGTAGTGAGTCTGAAGCTTCTTGCGCAGATACGTGACGTGATAAGATGGCGGTGTCATCTGCATAGGTCGCTATGAGTACTGCATCTGTACTTCCTATATTTGGCTCGGGAGTTGGCATATCTCCTGTGAATAAAGTATAAAGTGTTGGGCCTAGAACACTACCCTGTGGTACTCCAGCCATAATTGGTCTAGTCAAGGATACTGTTTGCCCCCTTGACACTTGGAAGGTTCTTCCAATAAGGTATGAGGATAGCAACGCGAAAAATGGGGCTGGAAGGGTGGTCCTCACTTTCTGCAGCAGTCCCAGGTGCCAAACTCGATCAAACGCCTGTTTGATGTCTAAAAAGACGGCAGAGCAGTACATCTTTTCTTCAAAGGCTCCAAGGATATGGTGCACAACTCTGTGAACCTGTTCCGGTGTTCCATGCTGTCTCCTGAAGCCAAACTGATGGTTTGGAATGGCCTCCTGGCGTCCCAGATGTGTCAGTACTCGTTCCAGAAATATTCTTTCGAATATTTTGGAGAGTACTGGCAACAGGCTAATTGGTCTGTACGACTCAATTTCTCCCACGGGTTTGCCAGGCTTAGGAATCATCACAATCACGGCGCGCTTCCAGCAGGCTGGAAAGTGCCGGATGCGGAGCATGGCGTTGTACACCATAGTTATGTAGTCTATGGTGGAGTCAGGCAGTGCTCTAAGGACTCTGCCGTTTATTAGATCATATCCAGGGGATTTTTTTGCCTTCACTCTTCTGATGTGTTCAAGAACCTCTTCTTTTGTACATCCAGTTATCTGGTCTTCAGCTGGGAGGGGCGAGAGAACGATGTCTTCTGTTGCTTCGATTTCTGAGGCCTCTGCGGTAATCACCGGCGTGAATTGGTCTTGAAGGTGGTTTGCAAAAGCCTCAGCTTGAGCTTCGTCTCCAATGTGCCAGGAACCAGAAATGCTCCGAATGGGATGACGTCGTATTGGCTGCCGTTTGAGCTTTCTTGTAAATTTCCATAATTGAAACTCTGCGTCAGTGGGCGATTCAGCTCGTACCAGCGCATCGCTGATACACCTCTTTTGAAGCAGGGCGAGAGCAGCTTTAAGATGCCTCGTGGCTTCGTTGTACATGGATTTGGCATCAGGCGTGCGTAATCTTAACCAGCGTCTCCTGGCCCATCTTTTGTGTATTAGTAGGTGTTGGGCCTCCAAGGTGAGGGGGATGTTGTACGGAGACTGTTGTCTTGTTTGGCAAGATGGTGGGGCGGCTTGGTGCGCAGCTTTGACTATTTCTTCCTGCAGTTTGTTTGCTGCGTAGTCCACGTCTTCAGGAGTGTTAAGTTCCATTTCTATGTGCAAAGAGTAATGGAGCTCGCGCCTAAAGACTCCTAAATCTGATCCTGCTGGCAGTAGTTGTTTCCTAATGGGCAAGGGCTGTGGCTGCGCGTGGATTGTGACTATTAGTGGCAGGTGGTCAGAGGATAGGTCCAAGGATTCTTCAATGGTCAATTGCCGGTCACAGATGCCTTTGTAGACAGCGAAGTCGATTGCCGAGGGCCTGTGTCCATTAATTGGGTAACGGGTGGGGGCTCCAGTCGCCAATATGCTGAATTGTAAGTTTTGAATCGCCTCAAATATGACTTCTCCGCGACGATTCGCACTATTGCTTCCCCAAAATGGGTGCCATCCATTCCAGTCGCCGCCGATGAGGGTCTTATTCAACCTTTGGCCTAGAACCTGTTCCATGTGATGATCACACAGACCAGTGTTTGGCGGAAGATAAATTGACGCAACTTCGATCGCTCCAATAGACGTAGGCAGGGTGATGGCTGAGACCTGCATTGTTGCGTTGCAAATTGGCAGTAAAGGTGTATGCGGTATTGTTGCTCGTATGAGGATTGAGGATCCACCAAAGCAGTTTGCTCCTTCACCATGAGCCTGATAGTGTTCGTATCCGAAAATTTGTGTAGTGGGGCACTCATGAGTTTCTGTTATTAACATTATATCTATGTTTTCTTGTGAGAGAAACGCAGCCAGTTCCTGAGTCTTGTTTCTCAGGCCATTGGCGTTCCAGATACCCACACGTAAAGCCATTATTTGTAGGCAAGCTTGGTTATGATGGCCATTAAACTGTTTAGCATGGTTGCTTGTTGGGATTGTACTTCTCGCATCGCTTTGAGCTCGGCATTAATTGCGTCAAACTGACGTTGTTGTTGCTGAAGCATTTCAGTGAACAAAGTGTCACTTGTGGTATTCTTATTTGACGGTCCACCTCTAGCGGCCTGTGCGTAAGAAACACCACTAATAGGCGTTGCAAAGCTCGTGGCTTGGGTAATGCTCCGGGGCCTTGTAATTTCGGAAGCAGTACTCGGACCCGTAGACGGTGTTTGTGTGGGACTCCTTTTTTGTGCTGGGGATTGCAATTTGCGCAACCGCTTGTATACTTGGCAGCCCTTATAGTTGGCTGGGTGCTGTAACTCACAGTGCACACAAGTTGGTGCCTGGTCCTTTTCGCGGGTGCAGTCTTTGGATGCGTGTTTCCCGGCGCAACGCACACATCTGGGAGCTTTGTGGCAGTAGCGTTGTGTGTGTCCAAATTCTTGACAGCGATGGCATTGTGTCAGGTCGTTGTATCTTCTTGGCAGTTCCACTGTGCAGCGTTGCCTGCAGACAACTCGAATGTCCAAAATTTCTTTGTTGTTGGGGGCCTGAGCCACGTCAACAAAAAATATATTTAGCGGTGTTTTGTCCATACGGCTCAGTGGGTTGTGCACATTTGTAATTGTGTGGCCTTTGGTTTCCAATTCCTTTTTAATTAGTGTTGTATCAGTGCTGGAGTGAAGCCCTTTGAACACGACTCTATATGGTTTGTCCTCCTTAAGCTGGTAGCAGTGGAACTCCAATTCCAGCTTAGTAAAGTGGTCTATAACTCTGCGATAGTCCTCACTGCATTGGGTTAATACACCTATGTTATTCTTCTTTGGCTTAATTACGTATGATTTAGCATCAATTACTTTATCTATTATCTGTTGAAGTAGGGCCACAGACTTGATGTTTGGACACCATATGGGGGGCGGACGAGGTTTCGGAGTAGTTTGCTGGTCGGTCAATACTGGGGCTTCTGGAGCTACAGGTGATTCGCTGTAGTCTTCATCTTCTTCTACGAGCAGTGAAAATCGATTTTCTGATATTAATGCTGCATTGCTGGTGCTTGGTTCGTCGAAGATGAGCCTTTTCTTGATGGTTTTTGGTGAATTTGGCTGTTTACGTTTCGTGTTTTTGTTGTTAGTGATGCCTTGCACGGAGGCGATATCTATTTTTGAGTTTATTGGCATGATGGAGGCTTGCCTATTTGCCATCACAACGTTAAGCTGGGCTTGCATTTCTGCATTTACCTTTACAGCTGTAGCGAGGTTATTGACATTAGATGTCATCGCGGATTGTGCTTTTGAGTGCAGGCGCACTCGCGCCAAGCGACGAAATTTCGTAAATTGCAATTAAAGCAATTGAGTTACGCGGAAGCAAGCGATAAGAAAACGCTGCGTGTGCGGTTTTTGTTGCTGTTGCGTTGAAGAATGCACCGCAAAGTTCTATTTTTAGAACTCTGCAGCAGTAGAGCTTAAGCGAAGGCTGTTCGAATTCACGTCTTTACAGGTCGAACGACTGATGTGCCATGCCAATTTGGTTTTCAAATGCATTCTCCCGTTTGCCCTGAATCAATCGACAAACCCTAATGCACACACACGCGCACACCGAGGAGCACGCATTTTTTCGCTGTAATCCTCACAGTCTTGAAAGAAATCGTTGCCTTTGACGATTTTTCTTCCAGTACGTTGCTTGGCATCTCCAGCTGGCGATAGCCAGTAAAAAAGAAAGGAATTGCTTTTTTACCACATTTACCAGCACATAGACCCAGACCCAGCACTTCTTTCTCTTATTTTCCTTCGCTCTGCCTCTTCAATTTCAACTCTCCTTTGGACTTGTTTTTTGTCTTTCTCTATGCGCATTTGAAACAGTTTATTTAAGCAGTTTTGCAGTTTGCCCGACTTTCTAGGAGTAAGCATTAAATCCGATTGAAAATTGTGACCAAAATGCGCCCAAAAATACTTAGCTGAAATGTCCGTTGCATACTTTTGGGCGAGGGGTACAAGCGGTAGGCAAATTATCATCCAAGAAATTACCAAAAGATATACTAAATAAATACCAAAAGAAGGACACGAAGTGACAAATTGAATTGTTGAAAAGCTTTGTCCTGTTGCTGCTGGTCAAGTTGTACGAGTTTTGCCAGAGGGCCAACAATTCACAGCATGAGCAATGGGCAAATGTCTGCGGCATTGTGTGCCATATTTATCATGATAATGTAGTCTGCATTCGTCTAACTCTTTTAACAGCTAACAACCAGCTCGACTGCACTTACGTAACTCCCATGGACATCGTCCTTTTCAGCGTTTTCTTTTATTTTCCCTTTGCCGTTGTCGTCACAGCCAACTACAATGATTGCTGTTCCCGTCTGTCCGGTCTGGCCGGTCTGTCTAGCTGGTTAACTGGCTGGCTTGCTGCTGTTGGACCAGAGTCAACTTAGTGGTCGTGGCCCGGCTTAAATCCTTTTCATAATTTGCTGGATGACGTTTGTGATACTTCACGCAGTCAATGCTTTAAGGCTGCTTCCTGTGCTCGGCAACTCTGCTGCTCTGCTGCCCTTCTGCTCTTTGCATACCTTCTGTCACCACCTGCTCTAGGTGGCAGGAAGGAAATAAATGTCTGAAAGCTCAGCCCCCTTTGTGCAGCGACCGGCACAAAATGACTTTCAATATTTTAACGTTTTTTTTTACGAAAATGGCGACAACTTCCTGTCTACCTTGACTGCGTAATGAGTGTGCTAAGTGTATGCACAGAAGTTGAAAGGCTTTGATGAAATATGTGAGCTGCCTTTAAAGCGTCCACTCGGTCTGCAATTAACAGCAGTTGAATTGGCTTCCTTTGGCAGCAGTTGGCAATTGTCATGAAATTGCCAAGAAATTGACGAGGGTTCATGTTGAGGTTGCAGGCGCAGCTGCTAAGTGCGGTCGGCACTTGACAAGCGCACAGCGGCACGGGTCATAGTTCATTCCAGCCAGTGCTGAACACTGCGGCTACACTGGCTGCTCTGTACCAATTTCCGTGCAGGTTTCATTTGTCAAATGCCACAAGGGTCGGGGCAGCTGGAAAGCTGCGTAATTGATGAAGCGGCTCCTTCAGACATTGACTAATCACAAGATGCTGTCCGGCTGGCAATATGTTGAGGTTGCCGTCCGGCTTGCAGCGATAGCTTACTGTAAGCTTTGGATTCCATATATATCCAACATATGCAGCAAAGCAATGCGTAATGAAACTTCGCAAATCGCATTACATGCAAACGACAACTTGTGCATTGTATAAGTTACAAAACTATTGCAACAATTAGAAGAACTGGATAGAAAAGTTTGCAAACTGAATGTGACACGTCTGCGCTACATACCTAACTTATGCAGCGTTTGTACTCCCATAATGTTCAGGCACAGGCAAAGCAACAAGTTACATAATATGTCAACATATTGTTAGAATTTAAGACTGGAATAATTGTATGAGCGTTGCATAGCTATCATAACTGTGCAAATCAGTTACAATGGAATAATTATTAATCAAAGTGATTAGGCAAGTTAGATGTAAATTAAATTCTCTTTTCTTCCTTACAAATTAAATTATGTTTTAAAAGTTTTAAAAATTTCTTTACAGAATTACTTTTGAATAGCGTTTAGTTTAATATAAAACCCATTTCCAGCTGTCGCCTGACATATTTTTGTCTCTTCATTTTCATAGCCTCACTACATTTATGAAGATGCACAAAATATAAATTAGATCCTTGAATTAGAGCTTAAACCTAATTAAATCTCTTGGGTCGGTAAGCTCAGTGCAAGTGTCTAGCTTTCGGTTCCAGTAGTTTTAGTTTTGTTTGTTTTATTTGTTATTGTTTATACATCTAGTGGGTATATTAAGTGCTATGAGCCGGTAGTATATCGCGATTGCCCCGAGTTGGTTGTTTTTAAACTCCGCCCCATAATTATTTTGGCATAAGAAAACGTCAGTAAACTTTGCCATTGTCGATTCCGGTTACAGCTGGGCCAGGCCAGGCCAAGCCACAGGCACTTCTAGAGCGCTGGCGTGTGCTTAGAAAGTGAAAAACTTTGTGCGTGCGAAATTGTGGCGAGCAGACAACCAGCGAATAGCCCAACAACGCAACCGCGGCCAACATTTCAGCTACAGACTACGTTCAACATGGACAGACGACAGCCGACAGCCGACAGTCGACAGCCAACAACCGACAGACGACAGACGACAGGCGACAGGCGACGGGCGGACACTTTGAACTGAGTTCGCAAGAACAACGCGTAAAACGAAAATTAAACTTATATTGTTGCGTTTGCCTGGCAACAAGGATAAACTTTCGCTGGGGCACGGGCACGACCACGAGCATTAAAGGCAGTGACAGCTAGCTGGCTGCAGCTGCGATGCCAACTGAATAAGGAATATCCATGCTAGCTGTGCAAAATGTCAGCGTACTTTAGTTTAACACACTCGCCGACATTGAGCATAGTCTTTTATTACGGCCACCGCAATGCGGAGCGGATCGGAGGCAACAGCTGCTTAGCTTGCAGTAGGTGGTTTTTTTTTCATTTTCTTGTTGCGTTGTTATTTGACTGTAATTCGCTCGAAATAAGATTGCTTTCCCAGCTCAACGTGGTCGCAATTGTGGGCTAATTAAAAATTTGTCATACTAATTAAGTGCACGCCACGAGAAGAAATAACGGGCTAACAGCAGGACTCCGTGGCTTATGGTAAATCACAGGCAGAGCACAACATGAAGACCACCAAGATTTTCGTAATTATATTTTAGCCAATATAGTGAGCCTAGCTTACCTGCTCTTTTAGTACAATAGACTACTCATATTTCATATTGTAATTTCTAGGCACATTTTCATTCTGTTAGTTGACATTTTTGCTGCATTTTTCGCTGGTGCCAGCTGAGCACCGTTGTACTGTCACAAAACTGCTGACAGCGCTGCCACAAACCGCACTCTAACAATAGAGAGAGAGGGCCGAGGGCAGCATCAGCCACATGAGCTCGGCACGCGCCTGCTGTGGCAGCCAGCAAAGCCAACGAGTGAGGCGGCATTTTAATGAGATATCACTGATGAAAGCTGTAACAGTAGAACCTTTTCACAGATCTAATTGCGACTATCATATTAAAGACATTACGACACAAGTGTGGATATGTATTTAACTTAATTGTGGTTAAGAAAATAAATTAAATGGAATCCAATTGCAATTGAGATTGCAATATAGGGTATCTACTCTTCGAGCACTTTGTAGCTAGAACGCTTCGTGAACTCGACTTTTTTTGCACATTTACTGCAAGCAATTTCGCTTGTTAATGAAATTTGCATTTGTGCTACGTGCAGCGCAAAAAACATTTGGCTCCGTTTCGGTGATGTGCGATAAATTAGAAAATCAAGCATTTTATGCTAATGCCAACGCCCACAGAGCGCTGGCAGCCAACCGAACCACCAGCGACAGGAACAACATACTTTCAGCTTGACAAGTTTTAACCACTTTGCATTTTTCCAATTTTCTTTTATTTTACTTACTTTTCTACTTCGTTTTTTCTTCTGTGTGTGTGGGAGTGTACGCCAACTATTCGAGCAAATGAAATTACTCATACGCCACGTTTTCAATTTTGATAAAGACTGCCAAAACTGTCTCGAAAAACGCTTGAATATTTTTGGTGGGAGATGCAACGTAAGCTGATTACTTGTCATTGGATTGAAATGAATTTGTAGAGAAGGAAATTCCACTGCTGCGTTACATGAGAGCCGAGGAAATTACCAGACGAGTGCGCGGTACGCAATTCGCATTGATTTCTTTATTGCAATTTTATTTGATTGCGCTCATATAAAATTACGTATACGCACTGCTGAGACAAGTACTGTTACGTAGCGCTAAAATCTCATCAGTGTTATCAGCGAATGGCATCAGGCGTGCAATCGTTGTCAACAGTGCCAACAACAAAAGCAGCAACGGCTGAAGCGGCGGCATCAACCACGCAGCAACAACAATCAAGCAACACTTATGAGAAAATAGAGCTGGGGCGAAAACGTTAACGTTAGAGCAAATATCTAAAACGTAAACGTGTCACGTAAATGGAGCGTAAATTTCAATAAAAATCATTTCAATTTCAGCCAAAGCCAAAACGAACCGTAACTGCTTCAATCGTATGCCACACAGGCAGGCTGAAAAGTTATGTAGTTTGATGGGTGGCTCAGGTGGTTCAGGTGGTTCAGTCGGTTCAGGCGGTTGGATGTCTCCACAAATACTGTGCGTGCCTGCTGTAAGTGAAACCGTAATCTGCCAATGCAAAGCAAAGTGCGAAGGTAAGCAAGAAGGTAAAACACTAAGCATTATGTCTTCCGCCCAAGGGAAATTGAATTTTTCGTCCAACTTCCGCGCGTCTGCCATTAACAATGACACCTAACGACTCAATATCACTTACCCAACTTCACGGTGCAACATCTCGCCGAGCGTCGGATTGTTAATCGTCACATCTGGCTCATTATCAACTATGACATGAATATAGTCCTCGACCGACAGCAGCTGCTGCAGGTCCATATACCGATCGTGCGGCTTGGGCTTTCGCGTTGATAGCGTGGAGCCAGAGATGACCCCCTCCTGGCCACTCGCTGTGCCGGCACCTTGACTGCCCGACGTTAGCGCCGGAGTGGAGGCCTCCTTGGAACCAGAAGAGTTGCTGCAATAGAAGGCAAAACATTATTTTCTCTTTGAGCTAGTATGTAAAAAAGGCTGAGTCAATGAACGCTAATTGCAATCTACAAGTGCCTGGTGCTCAACGAAGGCACTGCTCGCACAGCCGAGTGGCCCAAGCTGCGCACTTCAGGACTTGCCTTTCAGCCTGGTTCAGCTGCAATTTAGCTACGTTTAATCTAAGGCCAAACTAGCATACATACGCCTATTTAAGTTGACCAGAATTTCAGTGAATAAGACTTACATGCATACGGAAAATATTTACTTACAACTATGTTCTAAGAAAACTGAGCTACGTCTATATGATTTTGCAGTAAATTCATCACAGTTGCCGTTGTTTGGCTCAAATTGACCTTGGAGCAGAGAGTGCAGTCAGTTGCTCGTTATCACAATATTCGAAAAGTTGCTCGTGTGCTTGTCGTAATTTGAGTGCTGCTCTCTTTGGTCATTAAAATGAATTTCGAATATGCCTACGACAAGTTGGGATGCACATGGAAAAGTCGCTCGATGTTGTTGTTGTTCATGTTGTTGATGTTGTTGTCGCATCATTAAGCGAAGGGTTTTTAAGCTGAGCATTGGCGCAAATCAAGTCTTGCAAATTGCTTCGTCTCCGCCGCAAAACTTTCTGCATTGTCGCTTAAATTTTTAAGTGTGCAACAATTTTGGTTCGTTCTCAAACCATTGCCGTTTCACTCTATATTATATGTCTCTGTTATCTGCCTGTCTCAGGGCGTCACTCAAAAGGTACGCACATGTGCAACAGCGTCTGAAGTGCGAAACTTTTTCAATTAACAGTTGCCGGCAAGCTTTAAACTTTACAGCCGCAACAGATCCTGGCATCCATCCACCCGCTGTCTTTGCTGGCGTTGCCGAAGGGCTCATAACGTCTACCTCTCAACGAGACTCTGCAGATTTCACGCTTTTAATGCCACGGCACACAGAATAATGCCATTATGCCATTATATGTGGCAATCAGCTTACTTTGTCGCATGTATATATATGTTTCAAGCCAATTCCAATTCCAACAAGTTACAAGTGTGCAGAAGAGATGAAACTCCATTTAGATCGTTATGCAACGCACCACATTGATTCTCTGGTTGGAGCAACTTATATGGTTGTGGCTAACTGGCCACGTGGCAGCTTGGTCATTGGCATTATTTAGCATCAACAATGTAATGCAGCATGATGGCATTATGGCAACAAAGCACCAAAGCATTACGTTGCACGGATCGATGCCCGATGTGGCTTGCACTTAATTAAGCCAATGACAAAGTTTTGCTCATTAAACTGTCACGTGGCATGCGTGGTGCAGCTGAACCCTGCATGGCCTTCCATCAAGTTGGTAATGGAACGTTGCTAATTAAATTGTATTTAATACAAATAGCAAAGGTGGAATCGTGTCACCTGCAGCTGGCCAACTCTCAGATAGACAACTAATAGCTATTACATATCGTAAAGTTTCTTCTATGGATCCACATGGTAATTTATATTGTCATGAAAGGATTGAAGCTAATAATCAATGGAAGAATCCCTAATCAGTCCATTAAGTGATAAAATGTAGTTCAGATTAGATATTTAGCTTCAATCTGACTGAGACTCTTTTATTCGTCCGCCAATTTTGTTGGTATTATCTTATCTAAAACCTATTGGATCAATCAGAATTGTAGTTAACAAGCAATGGGATAGATTTGTCAATGCCATCGATACGCATCGAGTGATGTGGCATTTAATTAAGCTAATGACGATTACTCATTAAACTGTCACGTATCATGAGTAGCGCAATCTGCTGCTTCAGGTGACGCGTTTCGTTAAGCTAATTTGAAAGCCGTGAGAGTGCGTAAAGCTGCAATGGAGACAGCACAGTGTCAAATGCAGCTGGACAAAGTCACAAATTGAAAGGTATAAAATGTGTTCGGTGTACGAAGAGCTATTCGAGTTCAAAATGTCGTCCCGACCAAGTGAAAACTTTAATGAAATAATGCGCTTTGTGCGGTTCATAACGCGATGCGTAGGTGTCGATGCCTACGATCCGAATTATCGGTTCAATGCTATTACCAGCAGCATAGTGGTACTGATTTTAATGTACTTCATCTTTACAATTTCGACAATAGCTAAGGAGTTCCATGGCAACTGGATGTTCATGATACAGGCATGTGCCATGAGTGGCAGCGTGGTCCAAGCCTGCGCCAAGATGTACATGGGACTCACTTCAGGACGTACAGTATCCCAGCTGTACATGCAGCTGTTGAAAATCTATGCGGATTTCGAAAAGGAAGACGATGCCAGATACTCTCAAGTGCTTCTGCGCAGCTGCCACAAAGTGCGACGCTTTCTAATTGTGGTTGGCATAAGTTACGTGGTTGGCCCCTTTGGAATGATCTTCGCGGCTCTTGTGGCATCTTTTGTAACAGGCAAACTAAACTTAATCATGCACTTTCATCTACCTGGTGTCGATGTGAACACCGAGTGGGGTGCATGGGTCACTCAAGGCATGCACTGCACGTGCGTTGTATTGGGCGGACTTGGCTTGTATTCGGGCGACATGATTATCATCGTATACTTGATGCAATCGTTTGTCTATGCCGATGTCCTGCAACTGAAGGTTGATCGGCTGAATACACACAGCGAAAAGCAAGACAAGGTTGAAATACATCAGGAAGCCTCAAATCTGCTGATCGACATTGCCAAGTGGCATCAGACCTACACAGAGTAAGTAACCATCAACCAACTGCACCTCTGACTAATCTGTGGTTCTATTTAGGTTCATAGATCAGTGCAACGACATGTTTTCTGTTTTGGTGTCCATTCAGGTCGCAACGTCTGCAATATGCATTGTTATAACAATCTTTTCGCTGCTCACTAGCGACTGGATAGGTGGCTATTGCTATATCTGTGTTATCGTTCCCAATTTGTATCTCTATTGCATACTTGGCACAATACTCGAGAATTGCGTATGTCTTAGTTAAGTATCTTTAATTTATGTGACACCTACTATTCTTTTTCAGAGTGAAACATTCATGTATGAGATCTACAACATATCCTTCTACAATTTAAATCCAAGTCAACAACGGTTTGTCATATTTATGCTAGCCAAGAGCCAGCAACCAGGTGTGCTTCTGCTTCTCGGAGTGATGCCACTGTCTGTGAGCACTGCTCTGCAGGTCAGTGAAGGGATTCGAATTAAGTCAGTTAATATTATTACATTCATTTACAGATAACCAAAAATATCTACAGCATCACCATGATGATGGCCAGATTTCTACAAAAGTAATTTGAAGCTCATAAAGAATTTCTACGCTTTGGTCTACTCGTAGTTGGCTGAACCAAGTCGCAGCAAGTAGTTAGAGGAGCCATTTTGCTGGCAACGCCAAACGATTTATGAATTAATTAAATGTTTACCAACTAACAACAGTGATGTTTTATGTTCCCTTGCTAAATGGCAGCTGGCGGAAAGGAGCAGCACGCGCTGCACCTGGCAGCTTATGGGATGAGCTGCTAGCTACTTTGCCCAGGCGGAAGCGTGTCTTGCCTGTCTTGGCAGCATGTCTTGCGTTTTGCTGCGTCATTTTTATGTTTTATTACTTGACTTCCGCCAGCCGCAGCATAAAGCTGCCATTCCCCACACACACACACCCACACACACGTACACGGGTTTGAAATAGAAGCAGCATGTCGAAGTCAGTGTAAAAGCGCAATTGCAAGCCGACCGATTGGCTGCCGCGTGTGTGTGAGGGTAAGGCAAGCATAAAAAGCGGCTTTAGCGTGCCTGGTTATGGCCTGGTTGTTGTTGGCTTCAGCAGCAGACGTGTCCTGCCCCTTGCGCTGCCTGGAATTCCAATTCTCGCGAGCTTTTGCTGCCTGCCGGCAGCAATTTATGATTTAATAGCCGGGCAGCCATGCTTTATTGCAAGTTTTGTTGCATTTTGTAAAATTAAATTATGTGCAATAATAGGGAATTCTTAAACGGGATCAATGACCGACTCATAAGTGCCACCAACGACCGGGTAGACCACTCACTTCATTGCAACATAAACCGAACAGCGCCTATTTCTGAATTCTTGATTAACAAAGAATTATAGAGTTCCTCCTTTTAGCATATGCCATGTTCTTAGCATAGCAATACACATTTTAATGATGGCTTTAACTCTATTACTCGCGCTTTCTCAGCAGCTTAAATTCTCTTCTCTAATAATTAATAAGCTGACTTTAAAAACAATCTCCTAGTTGGTGCCTATTTCTGAATTCTTGATTAATAAAGAATTATAGAGTTCCTCCTTTTAGCATATGCCATGTTCTTAGCATAGCAATACACATTTTAATGATGGCTTTAACTCTATTACTCGCGCTTTCTCAACAGCTTAAATTCTCTTCTCTAACAATTAATAAGCTGACTTTAAAAACAATCTCCTAGTTGGTGCTTACCTCTTTTGCAGAAACTTGCGCTTGAACTCGTGCAGCATTCCGCCGGCCCCGGCTGTGCCTGCCTCGTTGTAATCGTTGTTATTTCCAAAGCGCAGCTTTTGATGCTGTTGCTGCAGCAGATGGCGGTTGGCAACTCCAAAGTCCATTTGCACATCCACAATAAGCAGCAAGGTGAGCAGCACGAGCGTCGCGCCTAGGCTAATGGCGAGGCGCTCTTTGAGCTTCATAGTACGCAGGACGGCCATAATGGGTGTTGGAGCGGTGCTCCCTTTGCTGTTCTTGCTTTCCAAATTATATGAGGCAAAAGCCGTTGTTGAGGCGGCCTTTAGATTGCTGTTCAAACCGCTGCCACGGAAAGTACGTAGCCTTGCAAGCCAGCCGAGCTGACAGTCCTCTTTTGGCTGTGGCCTGACTGCCGACCTGTGAGGCGAGGCAGAAGTGGATGGTGGAGCTGCAGTGCTGCGGGAGCGTGTCGAGCGCACAATGCGACGCTTGATGAGTACACGTCGTCGAGGCACTGCCTCGTCGTTGCCAACGTCGGTCGGCTGAACGTCAAAACCCTGCCAAGGTGCCTCCTCTAACGCGTCAGTTGAGTATTTCGCGGTGGCATCAACTGCACCACTCGCGCTCGAACGTCGAACAGCAGCAGTTTTACAATAGTTGTTGTTGTTGCTGTTGTTGTTGTTGTCGTCGCAGTACCCATGCAAATTGGCAACGCTTATTTGTTCAGCTGATAAGTCGGTATTTTCAATATCAGCGCTGTTGTAACGCTTTTGTCGCTGCCGGAATCGCTGCAGTCGCTCCGCTAGCGGCGCAAACTGCGCACAGCTGCAAATAGAGAAGAGAATTTCATTATAATGGCAAGTACATTTGAATGTGTGCTAGTTAGATCTTGAAACAAATCGACTGATGTGCGAAATGCAATCAAACGCGGCACTAAAAACCTAACTATAAACAAGAACTGCGACAAAGGCTAAAAAAGAGAGAAAAAATCATCGAAATGTTTTCGCAATGTTCTGATATTTTATTGAGCGTCATAAAAAATAATAGGAAATTTAAAATCAAACTCAAACTGTGGAACGTTCTGATACCCTGACAAGCACAACTCTTCTCCATAGATCAACAATTCTAGCCCAACGACAAATTGTAGCAAGAGTTTGCAATTGTCAAATTGTTGTGTCGCAACGGCTTAAGGTGTCATTCGCTTTAAGAGAAACATTGCTCTTAGGCCACTTTATTTCATGCTTTTGCAAACGCCATGACAAAGTCATCAAGCTCCCATTGTTTGGGAGCCATAACACGGAGGGGAACGAGCATCAAAAATATGAAGAGACGGCCACGTTTCCAACTCCATGGCGGCGTTGCTTTTTATTATTTGTGCATAAAACGGCGTCACGACCATCCGCCATGTTGACTGCTGCCGGAAATGCGGCAGAGTCCATTTTTTGTGCCGCCAACTTTGATGTCGTCGTTGTTTTTTCTATTGTCTGGCTGGGCACATATTTTTGCGCTGTTGTTTTGCCCAGTTTTGTGTGCTATGAGTGTGTGTGTGTGTATGTGTCAGACAATCTGGATTTGAACTATAACTACAACAGGCTCGTCAAGGCTTACCGTATATATCTTTGTTGTTTTTGCTGCTGATACCCAGGTCAAATTTAACGAAGCTTGTTGCTTGCTCACATTGGTTCCTGCTGCTACTACGATGGCAATATTGTTGCCGTGCTTGTAGCAACAACTTCTAAATGCAGCTCAGTACAAACAATAACAACAACAACAACGACGACATACGATAACAGCCAGATGTCGGTGCAAACTGGAGGCATATTTATTGGCATTTTCAGATTGGAAGAGAACTTACACTACAACCCGCATATTGCTGACATGACATAACTAAGCTGACAGCCATAGTCGCATTGTATAATAGAATTTTAGCAACGAATCATATGCAAAAATAGCTGATTAGACCAGTGCCTGACAGATAACACGACAAAGGTGCCGTCAGATTGCAAATGGGCCGCAACTGAACTGAACTAAGCAACGAGCCTTAGCAAGTCGCCATGTCAATCAAATCAAATATCGTGCCAATTGCCGATGTTGCCCATCAGAGTTGCATATCATGGCGCGACGATTTGACAGCCAGATCCAGACAGAAGCACATAGCTGGGGTGGTGCCGAGTTGGAGGATTGAACAGATATCTGAGATATGCGCAATGCCTGCAACAATCAAATCAATTGCAGACATCGACGCTGCCAGTTAAAACGGCACCCCTGCAATGTCAGTCAAATGCAGACGCCAACGGCAACGTGAGTTGAACAAATGCTGAGACGATTTTCTACATAGACTGCAGGAGCAGCAGATACTACGTATATTTATCGAATGACAACAAATGCGACAAATGGTTGATAAGCGACAGCAACAACCACAACAACAACGACAACGAAGCTGCAATGCCAGCGCCAGCAAGTGAAAAGTTCGAGCGGAGCGGAGCAGGGGCAAGGGAAGCTAGAGGCGCGTTAATGGCAATTGCTTCTGCCCCATGTTATTGTCGATAACTCTGCTCTTTTGCTCTTGCTGTTGCCTTTGCCATTGTTGTTGTTGGTGTTTTGCTAAAATTGCTGCGTTGCATTAAATTAAACTGATGCGGTGTATTAATGATGGAGTGATGGGGACGGCGGCAACGTTGGCTACAGCTGGCAACAGCCTTATTTTAATGCAATTGCCGACAACGACATCAAGAGAGTGAGAGCGAGAGCACACAACGTCGCCACTGGCTGATTGAGTGACAGCAATTTCCCTTCCAATTTGCGCTCTGTTTTATTAATCAGACAAAAGAGAGAAAACAATAAAAATGGGTATACAACGCGTTTAGGTGCAGGCGAGTTCAATGTATGTGGAACGTGCGAAAGAGCCCGTACTCATATGCTGATAAGAAACACTCAAGTGCAGGCTCACTTCAGTTTATGATGAAGCAATTAGAGCTACAGTACAAAGTACTTCGTTTGAACATCTTAGCGTTAATTAATAGTGGGTTTACTGAAGCACAGACTGCACTCTGGCTGATCAGCAGTTGGTAAGCCAGTCAATAGCTTATACTGAAATCATTTGGCCGTAAACTATTCCGTTTGTCGTCATCTGGCGCGGATACAACTGGCCTCATTATCGACCCCTTTGTATAAATCAAACTCACTTTCAATCAAATGACAAATTGCTTTCCGCTACCTTTCTCCTGCTCAATTAGCTTCAGTCAGTGAACTTGCCAGCGTCGACAACAAGATTATGCATTTTCCCCCGCCCCCCACTCGACACGAATCTCGGTTCATCGTCGGCCCTCTCTCAACTGCGCCAGCTACTACGCATGATTGATTTTCGGAAACTATTTCCCATGCCCCCGTTCGCAATCTCTAGTTGCCCCATATAGGGCGAGCGAGCAAGCGGGTGCACAGAGCTGTGCAATTTTTGTTGTTGTAAGTGCGAGTGAACGCGTAACCCGCACAAACTTGACGCGCTAACAAACTCGGCAAACTTAAATCAAATCAATGGCGATTGTGCAACAGCAACTGCTGCTAAAAATGACACGCTTAATGCGTTCACCGCCACCCTGGCACCCTGCCTCCTGTCTGCTTCTACAAGTGCTACAGCTGTTTGTTGTTTGCCACGCATCAATGAGGTTGAAGAATGTTGAGTATTGTGCTGCTGCTGCTGCTGCTGCTGCTGCTGCTGCTGCTGCTACTGCTGGTGTTGCTGCTGCTGTCGACATGCCGAACAATATCAAGCGAGAGTGGCTGGCAAAAGACTTATCGATTTTATGCGATTGTTGTCAGCGGGTAAACTTGAGCTGCTTACGATAACAGCAACAACAACAACAACAACAACAACATCAACAGCAACGACATCAAGAGCCACAAACACTGCACAGTTGCCTTATCGACCAATCGAGCGAGCCAATCAAACGAACTGTTATCCGATATGCAAATGCCCGACAAACTGTTGCAAATGCCATTCGATTGAAACAGCTTGTCAAGGTTAGTTTCAGTTCTCACTTGACTAATTTGGCCAAATTTTCACTCAACTTCACGTTGGAGCTGCGAAAATGCAGCGAATTTTCTCAACTAAGTTAAAAATTAAAAAAACTTGCGCTGTGAAACTTCACGGACTTGATCTGATACTTAGCCTTAACGTTGTTAAACTATAAAATTTCTCCTAGCATCAAATAATTTAAAAACATTAAGCAAGAATGAGTTCAGATTAAAATTGCGAATTGCTGAGTTTTAAAGCATTTTATACGCTTCTTTCTATTGCTTATTGTGAAATATTTTGCTTAGAAAATACTGTTTTTTCGTTTTAATTTCTTTTCTGTTTTTTTCTCTTGGGGACTTGGCTGTGCGCTTTGTCAATTTACCTTTCGCTGTGCATACTTTGACGTTTCTCCTCATCAACCTTATCCGCGTCGTAATCGTAAGCAATAGCTGCAGAATAAACGTCTTGCCGCTGGTCCGCTTTGCTCGTGTCAGGCTGAAGTGAATTCTGCTGCAGTCTCAGGTGATTCAATGGCTGCGATTTCTCTGCTGCGTTGCCCCATGTCATTTCATTACCAAAGTCAACATTGTTGCTGGCAGTGACTCCAGCCAGCTTAAGCTGCACCGTTTGCTGGTCCAGCTCTTGCTCCTGTTGCTTCTGCTGCTGTTTTTGCATGCTGCTGTTAATAAAATTTTCTGGCTGGCTCATTGCCTGCCAATTCTTACGTTCGTGCCACGTCGAGGAAGGTCGACGAAGTGGCTGCTGCTCCTGTACCTGCAGTTGCTCTGTAGCCAATTGTAATGCGCTCGGCTGCCAGTCTTTGTTTTCCTTGTTAGCCCAGTCGCCCAATGCAGCGTCCTCGCTGCCATAGGCATTGAACTGTCGTCCCCGGCTACCCTTTGAATGGTTCTTATATTGTTCCATTGCTGATTGATTCCTAGTCGTTGCCATTTGATTTATGTCGGGGCCATCGCCCCCTCGGCATATGCCTCGCTGGTAATCACCATTGTTCGCATTAGTCCCATTGTAGATGGCTATTTGTCCCATGGAACGTCTCAGCGCCTGATTGCTTTGGGACAGCCCGTATGCCCGCTGAGTCACTTGTACTTGCAGTTGCTCCTGTTGCTCCTTTTGCTCCAACTGGCCTCGATCCAGGCAGACACTACTCTGGCTGCGCTGCCGTGCTGCCTTTCGTTTGGCCAGCTCCGCCGGACTAGGCGCAAACAGATTCCGTATGTTAGCATTGCGTTCGCTATTGCTGCCGGCATCGCTGCCCTGCTTAACCTGAATAATTGTGAATTGTGTGCAATAAGATTTTTATCTCCATTTCTTTTGCAGCTAGAAGTGGCTTTTGTTTTTGGCCGTTTAGTAATGTTAATTGGACTGGCGCTACAAAATTCCTGCGCTCAGGCAAATCATGCTTAACTCTTGGGGTTAGTACGGAACGCATTTGTAAAACGACTTGGAGAGGGAGCAAACGTGATAATAACGATAACAATTATTATTAACAGATTAACAGAGGAGCCATAAAAGGCAACTATGGTCAACTCAACTCAGCTACAAATATAATCGGATAAGTTTTTTTCAGAGGCGACCCAACGTCGGAAACGGTAGTACTTACGCTGCTTGTCAGCGATATCCTTGAAGACAGAGACATTGAAGCAGAAGTAAGTAGAGAGCTGGGAATTCAGGGTGTCATCAAAGTCTACGGATACAGGAAATTTTGTGTGCGCCTCAAAGTCGGCTCAATTTCTTCATCCGTAAAACACTGCCACACAGCAACGTGGCCAAAAAAAGACATTCAGATAGAGCAGAGATGGAAGAGAGAAAATTTGAAACGTAAGACAGATTAGCATAAGCGGATAATACCCAAACAACGAATTGCCAACGGCAACGGCAACGGCAACGGCAACGGCAACGGCAAGAACAACGGCAACAAAACAGCAACTGCAACAGAATTCAGTAAGCCCAACATTGTATGGGAGATGGACAGCATGTGTGAAACATCTAAGTGCTGATGCCAAGCAATTCTCAAATGCATAGCAAACAAAGCTACAAACCTGCTCAGAGAACCGAGTGGCAAAAAGACAAAGCCGCATCAATTCAAATGTGAATGGATGCTTGAGCTCCAGCAAGTCGGTATGTAGCTCGGCTAAAGCCCCTTTAAATACGCAATTTGAGTGGCAAAGCGTAAAACAATGGCAGCAGATACACTAAAATTATCAGCAAGAACAACAGCAGCAACTACAACTACTACAAGTTTGACGTGAGACTTAGAGAGCATCAACTGTTCATGTTTATCGAAGGATTCGCATATGCAGTTGACATAGAAATAGCAGTGACTAAAGATATTCAACATCTATCTGTACTAATAATTGGCAAATTATTACAAACATATTCAATTACAGTCACTTCAATTATAATCAATTGCAAAACTGGTCGTGGTACGTTTCCCTTTACCAAACTTGAACTTGACTCTTTTCATTTGATTTGATATTTTATGGGAAAGTTTATCTAAATTGCAACGTGCCAATGATTGTATATCGATCCAAATAGTTCCCAGCCAAGTGCCTGTTTATCCACTTTTCGCTAGCTGAAATCGAAGTACTTTCAATTTTTTGTGGCTTCACCACAAAAATAATCAAAAGTGCCTGGGAAACCCACATACATGCACACACGCACACAGCAAAACGTTAAGATAAAATTGAAACCGGGACGAGTCGTGTTATCTGATGCAGCATTACAGCTGTTTGTGTTTTGCCGGGCTGCAACCTTCCCAAAAAGGAAGAAATGCATGTCAAGTGAAATTACTTGTTTGCAGTGGCAACAGATTGGCAAATGGGGGCCAGCTGCATTTGATAGTCAGACTGGGCCAACGCCACACCTACACCCATCTATTCCTGTCTTAGCTGAAAGCTCTGTGACATACGCATACGACACTTCGATCTGTACGGACAGGCGACTAGGAGCGATAAATTGAGATGAATGTAGCTCGGCCAGGACCTTCGGCCATATACACAATGTGATTCTCGCTTGGTGTTGTTCATACATTTTATGTCGTCTCGAGTGCATTTGCCTGCTCGCTGTCTATCTTGAGCTGTGGATGTAGCAGCTGCATGATGAATACTTTCGAACGAGCGTTGGCTTTAAGGAATGCCCCGCCATTGAAAGTGTGCGCTGTCTATAAATATTTTATTGTATTTTTTTCATTGAATGCGCCATAAAAAGCAGCGAGTGGGGTAGCGACGGCGAACGCCCATTAAAATGCAACACGCATGCAACGCGCTGCAATTGCATTGCATAATTTAAGGCGCTCGCACACGCAGTCAACTGAAACAATCAGCAACAAACCGCTGCTGCCAACGTCATTTCCAGCGTCGCCTCGCTGCTGATGTCGCCCATAAAATATTCATTTAAAATGCAACATGCAACACTTTGCATCACGCATCTACCGCACCCACGCGCCCTCACTCACCCGCACACACACAGCCCTACAAATATTACATGCCGATGACAGCTCCAACCGGCCAACCGGACAACTGGACCTGACTCATAGCCCGTGGCGCGCTGTTAGCATTTTGACGCTCCAAAAATTCTAATCCGTGGTGCGAGAATAAACGTGTCACATTGGGCCAGGGTTTGACACATTCAATAGTTTGCAATTGATAACAAGCGCAACAAAACAACGCAAACAAAAGCCAACAAACAAGCACTTACCAAACAAGCTCCAAAAGCTAACAGCCGAATGGGGGCCGACCCTTCGTATGCAAATAGGATGAATTACCAACTGTAAATAATGTGAAATATTTGTTTCATATTAGCATTTCAAAGCATTTCGACGTATAATTTATCTGCCTATAATACGCTATTTAATATTATCTAAGATACATGGTTTTATTTAAGACTAATTTTAATTGGATTAATGGACAAAAGACCTCAAAATAAAGAGAATATTATTTTCCGTTCTGCTTGTCTGTCTAATGGCTCAGTAGACATCATATTGTTTCTTATATCGGTTTATATATAATGTTTAGGCACAAGAGATAGATTATTGTTAATTCAAGAAGCTTAAAGTAATTAGAATTGAATACACAATTGATTTATTGACTCTCATTTCAATATATTTGATTGAATTGTCTAGCAAACCACACAAGTCAGCAATTTAAGCCGAATACAAATGTCAGCTGACAAGTCTACATTCATTTATATCCAAATCAAATTTAATTATCTGCTCATGTGGTTCGGGCTTGCATTGGGCTTTAGTTTGAGCAGTGACATTGTTGCTTGGCTATCTTGCAGCTTTCAATAGGCCAACTGAAAGGACAGCAGACTCCTCCATGCTCCTGCACCTATGCATAATGCACAAAGGTTGTTTCGATCAAACATGGGCAACAGTGTGACTTAATGGGATGCTATGCAGATGCAATGATTAAAATCCGCACATGAACATGGGCTTTTAAAAGCAATATCACGTAAGAGAGCTGAACAACAGCAATCCAACTGCAGCCCATGGCTCTTCAGTAAGTACAATTATCGAATTCACTCAAACGTGGCTATATTGTCGTCATCGCTCATCGGGCCTCTGTATTTTTTCTATAAACGTAAACTTATGGCCTAAGTGCCGGTTGCCAACTGCCCGATGGCAGCGCCTAATTGTGCTGTGGTAATAGATAGATCGAGAGCCTCCCCAAGCACAAGATCCAGTCATTGATACACGAAGCTCACGACTTGGTCGACGCGATCATGCGCCTCAGATTATGAGCCCAGCCAGAGACTCGAACTCTGCACGTTTTGCTTCTTTTTTTTTTGTTGCAAAAAAAGCGAAACCGAAAAGGGAAATTTCTTGCTGGCTCACGTAATTGAATTGCAGGCAGCTAAATTGGTATTTATTATAATAAAAGCAAATATGCAATTTCGCTTTTCTAAAAAACAACAAAATGAAAAAACCTCAAAGAGGAAGCAACAACGACAGCAACTTGCCGTCGAGCGGGAGCATGAGCTGACAGGCAAAGCTAAGAAAAACCAAGCGAAGCAATGTATTAAGTAAGCATTTGAAAAAAATGTGACAATAGGATATGATCAAATTATTTAAATTGTAATTAATTAATGCATAGCTCTCAATAAGTTTTAATAGGCTTATCGGAAAGTGAAAATAGAAATCTGCCTTTCAGCCTTATGCTGTTAATCCTCTTAATTAGTCTTTTGATATTTGCATAATTATTACAATAATGAAATTTATAAAATATAATTTAATATTAAATTGTATCCCTCAACTAGATATGCGTTGTAACAGCCCACTTAAACCCCGCATATATAGGGTGTATTTTTTAGAGACTTCGAACTGTGAGTTGGCAACGCTGCTTTACTTGACAATCTTTTTAATATTTGATTATTGGGTTTTATTAAGTTAGGTTTGACGTTTCATTATGGATAAACATAATCTGAGCAGAGCTTAAAAATGCTGTTCGTCAAACTTATCGTGCAATTCGTCCATATTGTGGCGTACATAATGATGAAGCCATATCTGAATGGGTATGAAAATAAGCCGAATTGGCGCATTTGGAGTGATAATCCACATGTTTTCGTCGCAGCACCATTACATCCACAGAAAATAACGCAGCAACTATATGGCCACAGTCACATTTACAAGCTAATGCAATTAAATGTTCTATTCAATAAAATAATTATGAAAAATAATTTTTTTGTTTTATTGTGAATTAAACATGTATAACTCAAAAAAAAAAACACCCAATATATTTAATATGTATAGAAAATTCATTATAACACGCAAAATCAATTGAATACGGGTTTTCAATTGCGTCAATAAATCACATAAATATTTCAAATGACAAAATAGTGAAATAATTAAAACAAAAATAAATCAGTAACAAATCTAAAATTGTGCATAATGAGTTTAAATTATGCATAAATTAGTATAAGCGAAACGTATTCATGCAGTGAAAATTTAACTTTATAATTGGGTCAAGCGAAATCCATTTAAGAGGATTTACATGTGCATTAAATAAACTAAAAATATTAAATTAAGAAGCCTGCTTTATTATCGCACAGGAGCCATACTTCAATGTATTCTATAAATTATACTAGATGCAGTAGACTGACAAATTTATTTTATTTCCCATTGCGTATGTGGTTTGCCCATTTTCCGGCATAATTATTGAAACCCATTAAGCCAAATAATTGCAAATTTGCATACTTATAAATCAAGGTACGTTTTGAAAAATCTGTTCATACTCTACCTAAAGAGACAACAGCAATAGATTTCAATTGATAGCGCACGTTGGCGTTTTGTTTTCTCTTTCAGTAATTATAAAAGAATTAAAAATAATTATATTTTTATTTACGCTATCATTTAAATGGGCGAGAGTATTTGAATATTAGTCAGCGCTAGGCCAATGTGGTCTTGGCGTTATGTGTGCTTAATGAGTTTCCCGCGGCGCAAAACAATTTCCGCAGTTCGTTACGATATATATGGATATGGATATAGGCGCGAACAGGTAGAGCAAGCAGCTGTGGCTTCAACATTGAACTTGAAAATGCTGCAAATTGTTAAATGGCTTATGCAGTTATTTGGACCAGGCCGACAGTTAGCACTTTCATGCTCTGCCAATTGAATGCATCTACATGCACGTGTTGTCAACAGCTACAACACTTTGGCAAACTGCGTTACATAGGTGGTAATTGCCGGGGCCGGCAATCATGTTGTTGTTGTTTGAGAATTTAACGAAATCCATTAACTCATAATTTTCTGCTATGCTGCACTCGCCATCGCTAGCTCTCGGCAATGCAAACAGCTGAACGTTCAGTTAGTTAAGCCAAAAGGCAAAATTGTGCGCAATTTAACGGCAGAGCGCGCTTTTCCACACCAACAAAAGCGATGTGCACGTATCCGTGAAATATTGTGAAAATAGTAGCTAGTAACATACAGTCAGCATTCAGCTCATACTCACACACACACACACACTCATAACGAGCTTACTGTTAAGTGCAGCGCAATTGTGGCAGCAAGAAATCTACCAAAATGTTGAGGGAGTTCGTTTCGAAAAAATTCACACGACACGACGACGCGACGTTGGCTTTGTTGATTATGGGAACCACTCAAAACGAGTTGTATTGTTTTTGTCGATTGTTGTTGCTGCTGATGTTGCAGTTGTTGTCGTAATTTGGCTGTTGCATGCGAATTGCATTGTGCGGACTATTCGTTTGCATATGGCAAGCTAAATATGTTGCTCAATGCACCTTTATCCTGCGCAGTCGCAGTATATGTTACCCTTCATATACCCTACGAATTATGTATATATACATTTGATATTTGTTAAATATATTTTTTAGCTCACTTAACTGAAAGTCCTTTATAGGGTATGTCACAGTCGTATGTTCTCTTTTAGGCGTTAATTGCTGTATTCACAAGCTAATTGCTTTTGTTAGCAGTGCATTTTGTCTTGCGGTGTTTGGTTTCTGCATTTTTCATTTGTAAATTGACAAATTATAAGCAATTATATTTAATTTGATTTGCAGACAAAGTCACACGACAGCCGCTGCGCATTTTGTCAGACAATTTCATTAGTAACAATTGCCGCTGGTTAACGGGCTGCGCCTTCCTGACCCCAAGCAATTTGATTAAAACTCCTCCGGTACTGCGTGAAATGTTTTGTACACATATTTTACATGATTACCAAATGTACAAACGAATCACAACTTCAAGTCGGTTGGATGTGTCGTAAAAGTAAAAATAAGTTCATTTTTTGGGCTTCAAATTGAGCATACGCAGCGTTGGCAACGGACATAGAGTTCGAGACCGGAAACTAGCGGAAATCATTAGACCCTGACTTGAAGCGCTTCTGCTTTTACTGCTGTTGCCATAAGAAGTTTAGTTTACAGTGGCATCAAGTCACACAAAGCTCAACAAACTATGACAACTGTCTATTATTCAATATAAAAAAAAAATATATAAAAGGAGCGATATTTGGTGAGATTTTTATAGATATTTTGTTTGACTCAGTATCTGAAGGGTAAAATATGCATTTCTACCCACTGTGCACAGTGTGCTGCTGTCGTTCTCAACGGCCTTTGTTCTGCTCAGATATATTTTTGCTTGCCCCACACACACACACACATACATACACGCAAAAGGCATGGATGCGCCCCAAGAGACATTATTGTTATTGCTGCCTGTTGTTGTTGTTGTTGTTGTTAGCTTGGTTGTTAGTAGTTAGCAGCTTATGCTCGCAACTACTCAAATATCCGGAATCATTATTATAAAAATCTAGCTGGCAGCGGATGCACTGGGCCAGGAAGTAATTAAAGCACTGCACATAATTGGTAAGTTACAAGCAGAGTACATTAAACTGCTTGATGGCTTAGAGAACGAGCGAAAAGTTGTGCGCAAGCAGCGAAAAAAGTTGTCAGAATCAGGTAACATTAATTAAATTAAGTAAGTGTGAACAGCAGGGAATCTTTTTACGTTTGGGTTACGAGTAAAAAATGAAGCCTACATTCTAGACACGACCTTAAAAAATAGACCCTAATAAAATCAACAGAGGTGACAGCACGGCGTATACACGACGTGCCAATGAGATGCCCAGCTCCGCTCAGTTGCCAGCTGCCAGTTGCCGGCGTCAGTAAAAAATAAAAACCAGATAAAAATCAAATTAACAAGCGAAGCGAGCGCACGAAAAAAATTTGTTGCACAAGTAAATAAAGCTGCCCCAGTTAAACGCGCCAACTGATAAAGTAAAAAAAAAAATGCTAGGGTCTCTGATGCTGCAT